TAGCTAACGGGCCTAGCTCTTGTGCCCTAATCTCTTGTATATATATATATATATATATATATATATATATATATATATATATATATATATATATATATATATATATATATATATATATATATATATTTGTTCATATCTCTAATACAATAGATTACTCTATTCTCTCTAATCTCTAAATCTGACATGGTATCAGAGCTAAAACAATTCTAAACCCTAAATTTTTTTTTCTCCTCTAATCTCCTCTGTTTTTCCTCTAATCTTCTCTGATTTCTATCATTTCCTATACTCTACAATGGTGGACGACACAAAAATCGACCCTTCATCCCCTTTTTACCTCGGCTCAGGTGATCAACCTGGGAATTTGATCACGCATGTGATCTTGAACAGTGACAATTATCTATCTTGGTCTCGGGCTTTCTCCCTGTCTTTGAAGTCTAGGCGCAAATTTGGGTTTGTAGATGGTACTATCTCCAAACCGATTGAGAAAAAAGAAGATGCTTGATTGGGATACGGTGAATTCCATGTTAGTCTCGTGGATGTTAAAGGCAATTGATCCGAAAATTGTTGCTTCTCTCCCTTACTTTGATGAAGCCAAACGGCTTTGGGAATACCTAGAAAAACGCTATTGTGAAGCGAGTGGTCCGCGATTACAACAATTGAGGGCAGCCATCACAAATTGCAAACAATTACCTTCTATGACTGTCGAAGATTATTACTCTCAATTGCTGGGCTACTTTGATGATCTTTTGCGCCTGAAACCTCTTCATGGTTGTGAGTGTGGCTTGTGTACGTGCAATGTGGCTGAGAAATTAGCCAAGGATAGGGACGAGGAGATCCTTCATCAATTTCTGGTTGGCATAGATGACAACAAGTATGCTTTAGTTCGCACTAATTTGCTTTCCCAGCAGCCCCCTACAACTCTTGAGCGTGCTTATCAAGCTCTCCTTCAAGAATAGCGCTCTAGGAGTATCGCCCTCACCAAAGCACCTGTGGTCAAGGAAGATGCTCATGTGTTTGCCCTTCCCTCTGCTGATCGTAAACAATTCACACCTCGCCTTGACAAATCGAAGCTGTTTTGCTCTCACTGTAGGCGGTCGGGTCATGAGAACTCGGGCTGTTTTCTGCTTCATGGCTATCCCTCTTGGTGGGTAGAGAAGTATGGGAAGAAAGGGGGGGCATCCTCCTCGGGACAGCAAGCTCATACTCACAGTAGCAGCAGGCCCTCTACTCCCCTCACTGCTGCTGCCGCTTCTTCTGATCAGGGCAGGTCAATGGCTCGTGCTAATGTCGTGGCCTCTCCCCTTGGTGACACTTTCTCACACTCTCTGCCTTCACAAGAAACTCTTTCTGCTTTATCTGCTTTACAGCCTTCTCATGTGCGTGCACTTATGACTATGGTTAATCATCAAACCCAAGACAAGATGAGTGGTGAGTCTCTTTCCTTAGCTTGGATTATCGACACCGGCGCATCCCACCACGTTACCGGCAATGACACTTGTTTAATTGATGTTCACTGTATTCACCCATGCCCGGTTGGACTTCCTGATGGAGCTACAGCCTTTGCTACGAAGGCGGATCGTGTGCATTTGGCCGACCATATTATTCTTGATCATGTGGTATATGTTCCACAGTTGACTTGCAATCTTATTTCGGTCTCTAAACTAATTGATGATTCTCTATGCTTTGTCCAATTTACTGATTCTTTATGTGCTATACAGGACCAACTCTCGGGGAGCCTGATTGGAGCCGGTGAACGGATAGATAGACTATACTACTTTCGACGGGTTCCTAAAGTGTGTGCGGTGACAGATCCGAAGGTTTCATCATTCGAGCTATGGCATCGTCATATGGGGCATCCGTCAGACAAAATTGTCAAGTTAGTTCCTGCTATTAGTGCTAGTTCACATAGCAAATCTTTGAATAAACCTTGTGAAATTTTTCCGCAAGCTAAACATTCTCGGGATAGTTTTCCCAAAAGTGATAGTAGAGCTAGACGTATTTTTGAGATGATACATTGTGATTCATGGGGATCTTATAAGACACCGTCTACTTGTGGCGCTCATTATTTTTTGACGATTGTTGATGATTTTTCACGTGGTGTTTGGGTTTATTTATTAAATGACAAAACTGAAGTTTACTCTTCTTTTTGCTCTTTCTTTGCTATGATTAAATGTCAATTTAATGTCAATGTTAAACGTGTGTGTAGTGACAATGGCACGGAATTCAAACCCATGATCCCATATTTTACTGAAAATGGCATTATTTTTCAAACCTCTAATGTTGGCACCCCTCAACAAAATGGTCGGGTAGAGCGTAAACACCAACATATGTTGAATGTGAGTCGTGCTTTAATGTTTCAAGGCAATTTGCCAATTTCTTTTTGGGGTGAGTGTGTCCTTGGAGCGGTTTATCTCATTAATCGTACACCCTCTTCTTTGTTAGCCAACAAAACTCCATATGAAATCCTTTTTGATAAACAACCAAATTTTGATGAATTGCGTGTTTTTGGGTGTTTATGTTTTGCTCACAATCAAAAAGCCAAAGGTGATAAATTTGCCCCCCGGAGTAGGAAATGTGTGTTTGTCGGGTACCCTCATGGGAAGAAAGGTTGGAAATGCTATGACTTAGAAACCGGTGACATTTTTGTTTTTCGTGATGTAAAATTTCATGAGCACGAATTTCCATTTACTTCTCGTGAGGAACCGGGTATGAGTGTTGAGGGGGGGTCATCCGAGGTTGTTGGGGTTGATAGTGATTTTTTAGATGATTTAGAGTATGTTTTGGAGGTGGGTGAGGAGGCCATTGTTCATGACACCCCGGCAGTGGTGTCCCCTGCCGCTGCTCCCAACCCCGAAACCTCTGTGGCAGCAGACCCTGCTCACACTCCTGCTGCCACCACTGCTCACACCCCTGCTGCCATCACCCCTGATGCTCACACCCCTGCTGCCACCACTGTCCGTACCAGCCTGGACAGCAGCTCCAGTGCTGCCAGCAGCACCTTTGCAGCGTCGTCAGCTGCTGCTACTGTTCCGGACAGCAGTGACGTTGCTGCTCCGGTTCTCTCTGATTCTTCTTCCATTTTATTGGACCGTGGTCAACGTCCACGGCAGGCCCCGGGGTGGCGTCGTGATTATGTTGCACACAATATTTCTCTTCCGAGTCCATCTATCTCTCCATGTTCACCGATTCCATGCTCCTCAGGTACTCCCTATCCTTTAGCACATTTTGTGAATTGTGATAAATTTTCTGTGCGGCATGGTGTGTTTATTGCAGCTATTGATACGGTGGTTGAGCCTCGAAATTTCAAGGAGGCAATGCAAGATGAGGGATGGAAAATGGCGATGCAACAGGAAATTGATGCTTTGGAAAATAATGGAACATGGATAATGGAAAAATTACCTCCGGGAAAGAGAGCTCTTGGGTGTAGATGGGTTTACAAGGTCAAGCTTAATTCTGACGGCACTCTAGAGCGATTGAAAGCTCGTCTCGTTATTTTTGGTAATCATCAGGTTGAGGGTATCGATTATAACGAGACTTTCGCTCCTGTTGCTAAAATGGTGACTGTTCGTGCTTTTCTTGCTGTAGCTGCTGCAAAGAATTGGGAATTGCATCAGATGGATGTCCACAATGCATTTCTTCACGGTGATCTTGATGAGGAGGTTTATATGAAACCTCCACCTGGTTTTCATGGCACTCAACCTGGTATGGTGTGCCGACTTCTGAAGTCGTTGTATGGTCTTCGACAAGCACCTCGTTGTTGGTTCTCTAAATTGGCCTCATCTCTGAAAAGGTACGGGTTTCTGCAATCGTACTCTGATTACTCTCTCTTTACTCTGCAATCTGGGTCTATTCAATTGAGTGTTCTGGTGTATGTCGATGACCTGATAGTATCTGGTAATGATTCTTCTGCAATCTCACAATTCAAATCATATTTGAGTGACTGTTTTCATATGAAAGATTTGGGTGTGTTGAAGTATTTTCTTGGCATTGAGGTTGCGCGAAGTCCGGAAGGCATATTTTTATGTCAACGGAAGTATACTCTTGATATCATTGCAGAATCTGGCTTACTAGGGGCACGTCCGGCAGGTACTCCTATTGAGCAAAATCATAGTCTGGCACAATCCGACTCCTCTCTTCTTTCTGATCCAGAAATGTATCGTCATCTAGTGGGTCGTTTGATTTATTTGTCTTTTACTAGACCTGATCTTGCTTATGCGGTGCATATTTTATCTCAATTTATGCAACAACCGCGACAGGATCATTGGGAGGCTGCTCTTCGTATAGTGCGATACTTGAAAGGCTGTCCGGGTCAGGGTATTCTCTTGAGTTCAGATTGTGATTTACATATTACAGGTTGGTGTGATTCGGATTGGGCAGGTTGTCCCTTGTCGCGACGGTCTATTACTGGTTGGTTAGTATTTCTTGGTGCTTCGCCTATATCTTGGAAAACTAAGAAGCAGGACACTGTGGCCAAGTCCTCTTTAGAGGCCGAATTCCGTTCTATGTCTAAAACTACAGATGAGTTGAAATGGTTAAAGGCTCTTCTTCTGAGTTTGGGTGTCTCGCATCCCCGCGCTATGAGTTTGTTTTGTGATAATCAATCTGCTTTGTATATTGCGCAGAATCCGGTTTTCCATGAGCGAACCAAACACATTGAGGTGGATTGCTATTATCTTCGTGATGCGATTCAGGACGGTACCATTAGTCCGTCTTATGTGAAGACAACGGATCAATTAGCGGATATATTCACCAAGGCTTTGAGTAAAAATCAGTTCATGTATTTACTTGGCAAGTTGGGCATTGTGATTTGCATGCTCCAACTTGAGGGGGGGTGTTAGGGCCTACATTTAGTATGTAGATTATATAGCTAAGGGGCCTAGCTCTTGTGCCCTAATCTCTTGTATATATATATATATTTGTTCATATCTCTAATACAATAGATTACTCTATTCTCTCTAATCTCTAAATCTGACAGCTTCTTTAATTTGCAGAATATTGCTTAATGCTATTTAATTTGTGGTTATACATGTCCATATGGGATTTAGTATTACTACGTATTATTATTGGAGTATTTTCATAAAGTATTTTGTATACTTCGTATTTCGTTTTAAGAAACAATCAAACTATCTTCTCAACAATTATAATCTGCTGTCCGGTCAAATTCAACTAAAGCAGCCACCTTTATACAAAAAAAAAAAAAAAAAAAAAAAAAAAAAAAAAAAAAAAAACCCAAAACACTTCAGCATAAAGGAATGTATCTGAACTTGTTTGCAGTCAATTATGATATTAGTTGCTGATCTTATCATTTGGTTTAGGAGAGAATCTACTTTCTTATAGATATCAAATTTGTAAACATGGTATGTGAACAACCATGATTGAACAACAAAACTTGCATCATCCAGTTTCACTTGACATATCAGCAATTTTACTATCTTGGCCTAGTTCAAAACTTAAAAAGATATCATGCTTCTTCAAAATCACGATTTTGTTGTGCCATGGCTTCACTATTTTGGCCTATTACTATGCGTTAATCACTAATTCACTACACCAACCTAGCGAAGTCATGATTCTGCATTTCTTCAAATTGGTATTCTGCAAGCCCTCCATCTTAGTTCAGTGGTGTAGGGTTAATTTGTAGTTGGCACTTCTACCTTTGCAATGAGTAAACGATTTTCAGGGGAAATATCTGATGGGACATACTTGACAAGTTTAGCTTCCAGTCCACGTTCCTTAATCCACATTAACCTCCCCATGTCAATGATATCCTTGCACATGAACCCCAATGCCGCTCTATCCATTGCTTTCATGTTCCTTGTATAATCTTCAACTCCGCTAGCATCTCCACCATACTCATCATTATCACTATAAAAGGGCAAAATCGATTGAAGAAATTAAAACATGCTCTTTTCACCAGGATAATAGCTATATACATAGAAACTTTACTAAACTGAAATCTCGAGGTAGAAAATATTTATGATTTTTTTTTTTTTTGGCAAATAATATTTATGAATTTATTATGGATTTTTTGATATATACGAAGTATATATATATTTTTATATACAGGTACAAATAAGTAGAAAGTAACAGCCTGTTACTCATTAGCGGCCTTTATACAGGGAAAGAATTAGTTGGAGGAAAAAACGAGGGGGTGGAGGGGGGGGGATTATAACATTAAAAGATACTAAGTATTTACCTTGGTGGCACTGGAGATTGCAAAGAGCCATCATCAGAAACATCTGATCCATGGTCAGCATCAACTGCCCAACTGGTAAACCATGTGATAGCATGGAAATGTTCTTTAGTGATTCCTAAATTATTTAGGTATTGTTTATCTGCAAGTGTGAAGAAAGAAAAACAATATGTTCACAATTGAGGATTAATAAGATATATCTCAAAGGGTATTAACTAATTAAAGTAATTGGTAGTTGAAATTACTTGTGTAATGTTTCCATTGGCATAGATGGTGGCAACAGGTTGCCACAGCAATGCTTCTAAGGTGAGGACGTACAGATTGCTCTTTCCCATTATCTTGATTGGGATGTTCTCCAAGACAACATCTGAGGGTCAAATCTGCACTATGCCACACATTGTAAGCTCGATGCAATTCAAGTCATTCAACTCCTCAGCATGTTCCTCTTTCCCTCCTATTTCTGTTTTCAGGAAGGGTAGGGTGAAAGGGTAAAAGGGATCTGCTATAGAAGGCTGACTTGTATCTAAATAAATGGTAATTGCTCACTATAATTCAAATGAAATCAGAATATTCACCTGTAGCAGGTCCACATAGATGTTTACCAATCGCCAAGTAAGGTATTCCCTTCAAAGACTCAACAGCGTTCAGATTTAAATCTTCAACTGCATCAGTGATCATCGATGCGCATCAAGAGGCAATAAATTGACAGACTACAGATAGAACTATCTAATGTTCTAAGGTAGTAATCCTACAACAGCTAAACATAAAATTCAGCTAGTTCAACACAATGCTTTAGAAAAGTATTACTCCCTTTGTTTTATATTGTTCTTCCTCTTTGTCAAAAAAAAATATTGTTCTTCCTCTTCATAATCTCTTTTGTGAGATGAAATAGGTCAAAGTAGGAAGAACAATATGAAACGGAGGGAGTAAATTATTAAACGGGGATCTTGTAAAGAACCCTCTTAAGCCACCTACACGCTTCCAATAAAAGAGAAGGGGCGAGCCAAGAGCAACTCAAGTAGAACACATGGCACATGCTGCTGCCACAACCATTGGGGGAAGAGGATATGGGAGAAGAAGACAACAGTAACTAATTAAGGTGACGCTGTTATGGTATTTACCAGTTTCAAACCTTCAAGCACTTGATGGGACAACAAGAAGCAATGAATCATGGGACACTTTGACAGCTAGTGTTCTTGTAATAAATAGAAATGTGTAGAGAGAAGGAGATAATGTGATTTGACACTTTGCTTAGCATTGGAAGACTTATATACTCCGTACTATCTAGGAGAGTTGTAGCTTCAATATACTCCTCTTCTTGTAATCAGAATATCATATAAATCAATTGAATTCCAAATTCAACCTTAGATTCTCTTGAATTATTTACAATTACATCAAGGTTATACAGATCTCCTAAACTCTATCTTGACTTCATTATGTTATACGAAGTATAATTTAAAATTGTAGTCCTGATTGGCTGATTACCATGATAAAGATTACATGAGAAGAGGAAAAACTCAAGATGAGGAGAAAATTGTGAACGCTTAGACATGACTGCTGCATAACAGTCGGGTATCTAAACTGTTAAGAATATAGTAAATGTATGTCGTGTTATTCTGTCCCTCTAGGTGCAAGGGTGGGGATTAAATAAATCATTAGGTTGCTGAAGCCCAAGGCAAAGAAATTGAGCAAAATTAATAATGAGACAGGTTAATAAGATTTTCTCAAAGACATTTCCACAATGAAAATTAGGTTAATACCACTTCCGCAAAAGTTCTAGGTAATGCAACAATAACTTACTATAGTTAGTTGTCATCACAAAACAGTAATATAGTTTTGAAGTTAATCATGTTTTCTATGCTGGATGCATAAAAATTAAACTTGTGTACAAAAGCATAAAATAGCTCACACGAGAATAAAGGCCTTAAAAAACCAGACATGAGGTTTAAGTAAAACCTTACTGTCAATTCTCAAACGCTCCAGTGCTAAGTTGTCTATCTGTCGTAGACTTCGATCAGCCTAAAGTATGAGATACTAAGAGATATGAGCATAAATAAAATGACATTTGTTGCATCTTATAAAAGTGTTTCAATGTACACTGACCTTGAGCTTGTATGCCTTACGCTCAACCAAAAATACCTTATTGATCCCATAAGAATCAGCTAATATCTGGGTTAAGTAACCCCTGCCAGCTCCAAACTCAACAACAGCAGAGAGATCAGATTGACAGTGCTGCTCGGACAAAACCCCAAAATCCTCCAAGTTGCCAAGAATGGACGCCTGTTGGCGGACATGCTTCTCTTGGTATGGTAATTTTCTTAAAGCACAAAATAAAGTGTAACAATCAAACAAACATCATTTATCCATACATACAGTACAAACATTATTTTAATTCAGTGATTAATTCCATACATCATTTCAAACATTATGGTATATACCAGCTTCAAACCTTCAAGCACATACCTGTCATTCTGTCTCTTAATCCAGACATCACAGGCATGAGGTATCCTATAAGAAAACTTTATATCCTTGCAAATTAAAGTATGAAGAGAGCGGATCTTGGAGAGTAATTCAGAAAATTGAGGAATACTCAAATTGTAAACCCAATTTCTCTTCATCTCAGAAGTAAAGTCAGCATCTTGTTGTTGTTGATTAATTCCCTTTTGGTAATAAGGTTGGAGTGATAAAGTCTGTGATTGTTTCAATAATGGGCATTTCTTAAGGTGTCCCTCCATATTTTCTTCAAGCACACAACTTTCACAAATTCAACAAAAACAATATAAATATAAAACCATACTTTAGATAACAATGGAGACGACAAAACATAGTAGTGTACTAATTCTTACTGAGAAGGGTCGATTGAGCAAGGAATCCACTTTCCATTGGACCTACTGCTATGATTCCCGCAAAATCTGTTACAAGTTTTAATTTGCAGAATCAAATTACAATACTCCATATCAATTAAGAAGATTAATACAAAAGAGGGGTTTAATTAAGGGATACTTACGGAGAATCATTGAAAGGAGTATTTGCACAAAATCTGTTCTTCTTGGGCAGCCAATGTTTGCAACGTTTCTCCATTTTTCGGCAATCCCAGCTCGAAGATGCTGATGCTGGCGCTTCTGTTTGCTACTCCTTGTTTTTGTTTCCCACAAGCCCACCTTTATGTTTTGGCCCAACTTTGGTTAATTACAAGAATAAGGCTGTTCAAGTTTTGCTACTCCTTGTTTTTGTTTCCCACAAGCCCACCTTTATGTTTTGGCCCAACTTTGGTTAATTACAAGAACAAGGCTGTTCAAGTTTAATCACTGTACACATCAATGCATAACTCCTCCATTTTGTTTCATAACTCAATTATTTACATTAAGTTAATATCTAATACAATATTTAAAATCGAGGAAGTATTTTATGTTTATACTACAATAATATGATGTAAAATTTAATGTTTTAGTTTAGTGGTTGTTAGGTTAATGTTTTTTTTTGTTTGTTTTTGTTTTTTTTAATACTAGTATATAATTGGTTTAAAGTTGTTTGAAACCATATATAGACCTATTATTTAGTAGCATAAAGGTAATAGTATCCTTGAATTACTTATGAGAGGTGTGTAAGTAGTCAACTAAATTACGGAGTATGGAGTAGTTGTGAGAAGAAACAAATGGTTTCAATCATTCAAGTGACCTCCAACGGTCTTTTAGAGTGCATGAAAAACATTCGATCTTCTATTTAAGTGAAGAAAGGTTAAGAAACCTCCAAAGGTAATGACTATAATCCATCCTTTCAAGCTATTATCAAATATTTTGTGACATAATGGCGGGGTTTACTTCTCGGAATGATAAAAGGGTTATTTGAAATATACATGTCTTGAGCTAATTATAAAATTTGTGTACATAACTCGCTAATTTGATAATTATTAACACGAAAATGGGATAGGTCTCAGTGTGAACACGTTAATATCTAAATTTTAATTTAAATTTCCAAAAAAGGAGTGAAAAAAAGTTGAAGACCCGAAATTGGCTGAGACCCGTAAAGAATAAAATGGTAAAAGGCAGTTGGTATATAAAAAAAGCAATTGGGAGCGAGGTGCGCCGGATCCTTGAGGGTAAAAACTCCATCCTTGAAGATGCAGATATTCGTGAAAACCCTAACCGGGAAAACCATAACCCTAGAGGTTGAATCCTCAGACACGATCGACAATGTGAAGACTAAGATCCAAGACAAGGAAGGCATTCCCCCAGACCAGCAGCGTCTGATATTCGCCGGAAAACAGCTCGAAGACGGCCGGACACTCGCCGACTACAACATCCAGAAGGAGTCGACCCTTCACCTGGTGCTTCGTCTCAGGGGTGGTGCTAAGAAGAGGAAGAAGAAGACTTACACAAAGCCCAAGAAGATCAAGCACAAGAAGAAGAAGGTCAAGCTCGCTGTTGTTCATTTACAAGGTCGATGATTCTGCCAAGGTTCAGAGGTTGAGAAAGGAGTGCCCTAATGCTGACTGTGGTGCCGGTACTTTTATGGCTAACCATTTTGATCGTCACTACTGTGGTAAGTGCGGTCTCACCTACGTTTACCAGAAGCCTGCCGCCGAGTGATTTCAATTCGGGGGATTTCAGTTTATCTTTTAGAATTACAAACTAATGTTGGATATTATTAGCTTGTTTATGGTTTTTGGTATATATTGCTTTATTTTATCTAATTTTTTTGTTTAATGATGAAATTCTTCTTAATTATTGGAAACATTGTTTAGTATTGAGAGTATACATTTCTGGGCATATATTAATATGCCAACAGGAAGGAAAGAATGTGGTGTTGATTTGGTAAGGATCAAACTTTAAGCTTTATTTGGGCAGGGCTTATCTCAATCATTAGATCAAGGCTTCGTTTTAGTTGGTTTACTCTACTTTCTGAGTTGCGGGGGTGACTACTTGTATCCCAGAAGCCTTTGATTAAGCTTTAAAACCACTGTGACACTAGTAAAGCTTTAAGCACAGTACTAGGCTTCATACTCTATTTATCAAGTATCGCTTATTCTAGTCAAATATGATCAGAGTAGACCACATTAGAAATATTACCATTATTCTTATGTCGCCTTAATTCAAGTGAAGAGAAGCATCCTTGAGCACATCCGTGACAAAAGTCATCGAGTACTGTAGCATTAATTTGAAGCAAACAGCAGTGGTATATAATTCTCTGCACATTCTAAGTGAAAAGAAGCTCAAGGTTTACAGTTTAACTAAGTTGACTGAGGACTCCATCAATTATTTTAACTAATTAGGGAATTGACCATAAGGGATTGTCTCAATGAAGATAACCTTTACAATGACCAGAATACTCAAATATCATAGAAATATTATTGTTATTGTTGATGTAATAAGAAGTTTATACGACTAGTAATTTATACAACTTTCCCAGCTTTCTTATCATATGCGCTATATTAGCTATGAGTAGTTGATAGTGCTTTCACATTCTTCCAATTCTTTTGGTAGAGACTAATCATAGTTTTGCTTTAGTGTAAAGATGCTTACAATTTCTTCCATACATCTCAAGAGTTTACTAGAGCTAACATTTATTTTGTACTCCTAGTTTGATCACCGACATAATTGTACTAGGCATGTATACAAGAGTTTGATTATTAACACATATACAAGCTAGTAAGCACAATGCTTGTTGTACAATCTGCCAATCTTTATATAATTCACAAGTTTTGGGACATTTGAAGCATATGTATACAAGAGTTTGAGTAATTTTCTCTTCGTTATGACTACTTCACTCAACTACCTCAGAGGTCAGGCTGCTTTTTGGTGGTGTGATATCCATTGATGTGATCTGTAATACAACAGCTGTTTAATAAAATGTATACACATGGAAAGTGATAATTGGCGAAATTGTATCTTGTTGCTACTCCGTAGCAATAAGGTTTATATTACATATTTACATGAAATCAGGTAAGTATAACCTGACAAATGCTCGTGGAAACAGCTTAGAAAAAATAGAGTTTTTTGCTTTCACCAACATTATGTACACAGCATAACAAGGAACGTGGATGACAGCCATTCCGAGATACCTGCAAACAAGTACATATTTAGAAATACTTCTCTGTTCAGTGAACATTTAAACACAGTTTTAGAGAAGGGAGATTGCTTTATTTACCATAGAGGTGCCCATGGGGTTGAGAGCTCTAGGAAGGGATAAGGCCACCTGCACCAAACCTTTTTGTTAAATGACACGACTTATATGAATTGAAAGAGATTGTGAAGATCAATTAGGAGATATGAAAATACCATGTGAAACCACAGGCATGAAGAATCCACTGGAATGTGATGTATGTGACGCTCCAAAGTATAAAATAGGTAAAGCCAAACCATTGAAATGGCTGAGATGCAGAAAGTAAATTAGGTAATCAACCTCTTTAAAAAGGCATGAGTAGTTAAGCACCAATAACAGGGCGTATGATGCTACTTACAAGTGCATTAAGAAGCGAATCAATGACCAGGAAGACTGCATTCAGTGAGTGAATAAATCCGATCAACTGCAGGAATATCAAATGATGTTAGTAGTTCAGTAGTCACACTTAAGTTATATGGGCGACACTAGACTAAATTTAAACGGGCAGAGCCAGGCAAAACTCAAGAAAGTTAAGAGTACAACATTGCTGATACTGGATTCACGATTTCATAAATTAAGGTGTATGTTATTAAGATGTTTGTCTCTAAGAATATAATCCTAGTATATGCGTACTATAGGACATCATTCTATTCCTATAATGAGTGAGTAGGAATTCCATTTCACACCAATAGCTCTACTATGATAAAGCACTCACCAAGGTAAGCTCAAACTGTTTTCCTGCCATCATTGGCACCAATATACACCAAAAAACTAAGTCTGTAAGCATTGAAGCTCCTGCAGAAATCTGATAGAAGGATCAAGAACAGGATGAGTTACATAACTTACATCCAATAGCAAGAACATAAAGACTGAAGGGAACAACAATTAAATTTCGCTGTTAGATGATTTAGAAGCTACATTTATTTACTCAATTGATGTAGGTAATTAAAAGGAAGGTTAAGGAGGGATCAGCTAGTAAATGTATTGCTGCAAAAAGGCAGATATAACCGGAATGTTAGTGGTATAGCAATTGCATCAAAATCAAACAGATTCATCAGGCAAGGCGCAAACGAACTCACCTGGTAAACAATTAGCATAAGAGACCCTAAGAATCCTACTCCTCCAGCTTCATCATTACTGTCATGATTTTGCAAGGTATTGCTGCCTTCTCCCTTGTTTGAACCCAAAGCAGCAGCAGATTCGTTGCCATCTGAATCATTTTTCAGAAATTTGTCTTTCCCAGCACTTGTTGCTGGTCCTTTCTCTGCAGACATGAAGCATCCTTGGGCAGAAATGATGGTCCCAATCTACATGAACGGTGAAGCATTTAAAAAAAAAAAAAAAAAGAAAAAAGAAAAAGAGTTATAGCTTCTAAGTATTCAGAATGCATCCATATTAGGTGATAAGGTTGTAAAAATAGGTTTATTAGTGTACAACAGTATAAAATGGGAATTATGCAGGGACATACCGCAAAATAGACCATAACCAATGCAAATGTCCACCTGCAGACGAGTCAATTAAATCGATAGTAAGCGCAAGCCCAAAAGTAGAATTTTTCAAAAAGTTGACTGCTTTGTATGAGATAGAAGCTGCTTAGGGTTATATGCATAAAAATTTAGTACTAGGTATTACTTATTATTTAGCAAGAAATTAAAAGACAATTTACATGAAGTAGCACAAAAAGATTGAAGAGAGATAGTAGTTGACTTACTGGGTATAGAAATAGAAAGCAAAAAGGCCAGAAAAAAGAATCATTTGGTAGAGAAGGTACGCCATTGTAATAAAGGCTGAAGCTCTGTAGAGAAGAAGCCATTTGGGGTTGAGATTTCTCCAGCAAGGAACCCATAATATTAATTTAGACTTGTGGGTTTCATCTTCTCCATTTCTGATTCTTTTCTTGATCAGATTGTTCGCAACTGCAGCTGGGATTACAATAATCAATCCACAAATAGGGACTTGCCATTTCATCCAGTAATCAACACTCATCTTTGAGCTATCTATCTTTTATTTCCTTGCTTTTGGGATTCAGGAAGCAGAATCAGGAGTAATCGATGATTTGGGATGACTCATGAGACTGGGACCCGGACCAACATACATCTACAATAATTTACTGGTAGCATCAGGTTCTAATTTCTAAACTCAGTTGTGGTTGGTGGGGTTTTATATAGATTAGTCTACTTCTCTCTAGTACAACTAACTTGTAATTCTAATAAAACCCATGCCCTTGTCCGTCCATTATGATACTATAATTAGCAAATTATAACCACCATAAACATCTAATCAGATTGTACTTATAAAGGAGATTTCACCGCGTAATTAATAATTATATACGTACTACATTAATTATCTAACATACGCCCAACATAATTAATTAATCGTATGAGATACCACTACACGGCTGTACTTGTCTAAATATTTGCTAGAAATAAAGTACTCGTATACATCCATGTTTGTATTGTTCAATTCTTCCACAAGATTTGTGTAATATATTCTTGAGAAGAGCATTTTGAGTTCTTTACTCATATGAACTATTGTATAAGACAACCCTAGTTAAGGAAAAATAAAAATTAAAACTTTTGTGAGCTATATATCTACTAGTCCAAACCGGTATTCCTGTATACCCCCAAATAGGTTTAGTTGGGGAGTGTTGAGTGAGCACTGATAAATCAATTAAGGGCTGAGGGAAGGAAGCATGCACTAAACTATACAATCCAACCACCGCACTTAATAGCACATTTTGTGTGTCACCGTGTTTTTTCCGGAGTACTGCATAATTTCAACATGACAACACAATAAACATGTTCTAACGTGCTACCAAAAACATTAAATACCAGCATATTGCCACTATATTTCTACACCTACCTAAAAAATCCTGGCAGTTATTTTTTTTTACTTTGACATTGTTTTGTTTGGTACTATAGAGGACTTGTACCGAAAAAAATGCTTAGTTCTTTACAAGCTACTAGTCAAATAGTCAAAGTAGAAAATGTAATTGCATGAGCAGCCATATTAATCTGTTATAGGCTTAATATAGCTGATTGGCTAACTTATATAGCTGCTTAATCTTATTATTGTACCATTGAAGGATGTAATCAATAGCTAACATTCTTGCTTGTATTGTTTGTTTCACACAAGTGACATGCCTACTTGATTGCCTGCTCTATCTATTTGGAATGGCGAAAACTTTTATTAAAAAAAAAAAAAAAAAGGATTTTCTTATTCCTCCATGTATGAAAACATTTCATTTAATTGAGATATAGAGAATCAGTGATACAGTTCAATATTGTAAATAATACTTAAAGTCGTAGCTAAATATGAGAATCAATCAATCTCATCTTTAATTCCGAATTTAAGTAGAAAGTAGAGTACATATAACCCTCCAAATCTCTTGAGGAAGAATAGAAGGGTAGCTGAATTAATACTGTGATCTAATATATGAATGTGGAAATAATTTGGAAAAGAGCAAATCCTTCCCTCGCACGATTAATGCATACAGCCCGTAACAAACAACGTGACATGCAGCTAGGACCAGATACCTGTAAAATACATAAAGCCATGGTTTGATTAAAAAGATATTACAAGATGCAAGGCAATAATGCTGTACTCATAGTACGTGCATCATATCAATTTATGCTAAGATTATAATTTAACTATCACTTACCAGAGAGGAGCCAGAGGTGTTGACAGCTTTAGAAAAGGATATGGCCACCTGAAATGTATATAAACAAGGTCAAGCTAGAAATGACAACCAACTTAAGTTGATTTCTACTCTATAGATAAGATAGGCCGCGGTGGGAAATGAAGAATAATGAGTGAAGCTAATAAGGAATCGAGTGCTGACCAAGTGAAACCACAGAGGTGTATGAGCCATTGAAAGATGACATATGCTGAGCTCCACAGCACAAAATAAGCAAGCCGGAACCAAGGAAATGTCTGTTCATCGCACTCAATTTTATCATGTTACAAATACAAACATAGTCCATGTATCGATCATTGAATTGATTAAGCAATTAAACTCACAAGCCGATTCATGCAAGTGTCGAGAAGCAAAAAGGCCACATTCACGGTATGGATGCATCCCATCAGCTGTACAATTAATTAAGTAGAACACAACAGTGATTAACCATATATATATATATATATATATATATATATATATATATATATATATATATATATATATATATATATATATATATATATATATATATATATATATATATATATATATATATATATATACAAGTACATTCAATTTCAATCATTCAAACGGAAAGCTGGAAGAAAAAGGGTGAAGAATTGAATCAAGTAGTATGTAGGGACTGACCAGGGTCAAGCCAAGGCGTGTATTTGAAGACGCAGGGGCAATAATACACCAAAATATAATGTCAGTCAAAATAACAGCACCTCCACTTATCTGCAAATTTACTTGAGTTGAAATATGGATTATTGTACTACATACATACTGTAGCTGTCTTCAAATCTAAAATTGGGACTAATGTATGTCAACCTACCTGGTATGTAATTTGCATAAGATATCCCCAAAATCCAGGGGTTTGCTGTTTTCCATAATTCAAATTTGATGTTGTTGTTGGAATATCTTCCAAATCAACTCTTCCTCTTCCTGGAGACTCTTGTAAACAAGGAGTATCATTGTTGTTATGTTTGTGTAATAACCAGCAACCATGAGCAGAGATAACAGTCCCTATCTGTTATTGTTCAGCATCAGTAGAGTTTTGTCAGTCTACTACAACTGCTACTTGATTCATTTATACAGAACATGATTAAATTTGTTAGCAGAAATTAGTAAATCAAATTTACATACCGCGAAATACATCATAGTTAAAGAGTAAGTCCACCTGCAAATCAAGCATTGTAGAGTTAGATAGTGGGTACATATATGAATTGAGAAAAGAGCAAATAAAGAGAAAAGAAAAATACTCGGTGTAATAGATAAAGATGGAAGGACCCCAATGATGGATATCCCATGCTAAGAAGAAAGCAAGGGCAGATAAAGAGAGCAGCCGAAACACAACAAGGTAAGCAGGATGTAAGCCACTCCAGCAGCTGCTCCAATAATGGTCGCTGCTTTCACTACTACTAGGATTATTTTTAGTATTGAATAGAAGACTATCAGATGTTCCAATTCCAGCTGCACGAGGTTGTGTATGGTCGTGGTTCTTCCTCCACAGAACGTAAACGGAGCCAACAGCTGCTGTTACTACAACAACCACTGAAACGACGCTGTACCAATGCACCACTTCCATCGCCCATCCACCCACCCTTTTCACTTTACACTTTACAGAGTAAAATCTCTGAATTTTATGTTACTACTAGCTAATCAATCTATCATCTTATCTGCTTTGGTGATTAGATTATACTATAAGTTAGGATCATACCAATAAACTTGAAAATTCTTATAATACTTGTTCAACGTGTACTACTTTAAGCATTGATTTAGTACGAATGGGTGTTTAGACTGACAGATACTCCAAGTGTACTTACTACTCTTGATATTTCTCCAAACGTGTTTACTTTCTTTTCTTGCCACCTACCTTTTGTTTCTGCTACTAACCCACCCCCCCCCCCCCCCACTGATCACTGATGACGCACCTTCCGACTTCACTCCTCCTTTTTCATGGGCTGTCCAACTAATAAATAACTATCTATCTACTGGACTATATACTGCCCATCTTTTGCTAAACAACTAACATTTCTTCGACCTATAACTTCAGCCCAACCAGCTTTAGGCCATAGCCAATCTCCCAACACTTTTGCTCATAATTCATAAATCCATTATTTCATCAATTCATATTAAAATACTCCCTCCATTTCTAATCTATGCCCTACTTCATCAAATAACCAAAATATTTCTAATCATTTTACAAAGTAATTTTTGTTTGATTTACATTTTTATTATTCAAAGGATGAGCAGGAAAAAGCAAATGAAAAACAAAACCTTTAAATCGAGTAACAACAATTTTTACTAATACTTAATTCCTTTGTCATCCCATAATATACTAATTTAGTGTCCATTACTTCATTGCAATACTTTGTCTGAGTTAATTTCTTAATTTCATTACTATTCAAGTTTTATGATGATGCCATGATGGCATGTATTGTATGATCCTGAATAACTGAAATAACTTGGCTTGTATATTAATTAACGTGTTAACGTGTTATGTTAATTTACGTGTTATTACTACAGAGTAAGTATAATGTAATGTTGGAAGTAAAGTGGTAAGATAATACGTAGTATAGTAGTGTACTGCGGAGTTCATGGTACCACGTGATACGTGATGAGTTGTGATCTATTAATATAATAATACTCTACGTTAGTTAGGTGCAACGTATTACAAACCCATGTGCATTTTACATACTATCATTATTAATTTTAGAAACCAATCCCATCCTCTATTTTGATTGAATTTAGGGATTAGATTTTAAATTTGTGCCGACAATAATTGATTCTCTTTTATGAAGAAAAAAAAAAGGACTCAAAATCAATGACTTATACAATTAAATATAGTTTCTCTTATTCACATACTTCATTAGCTCATCGCTCTCCTTTTTAAGAGTATTATATTTATGATCAGTTTTTTTTCAGCTTAATTTCAATTCAGATCAATTCAATTCAGTTCAGTGGTCTAGTTTCCTTCTCTTATAAACAATTCAGTTCAGTTTAATTCAGTTCAGCTCAATTCAATAAATCAGAACAAGCCCTCGATGGCATGATCGATGAGATGAATTTTTCATCATGGCAGAGTGATTTCCATTATAGGAAAACTTTTGGTTTTGGGCAATGGCTTGATTGGCTTCAACTTACATAGGGATATAATAAAGTTCATTGTATGTACACATCAATTTGTTCTTGAAGCTGGCTTTTTAAGCCTAATTAAATAATCCATCACAACCAACTTAAGTTGATTTCTACTCTATAGATAAGATAGGCCGCGGTGGGAAATGAAGAATAATGAGTGAAGCTAATAAGGAATCGAGTGCTGACCAAGTGAAACCACAGAGGTGTATGAGCCATTGAAAGATGACATATGCTGAGCTCCACTCATTATAGAGTGATCGTTGTTGTATGAGCCATTGAAAGATGACATAGCCTAATTAAAGAGTGATCGTTGTTGTATTTGTTGAATTTAGGGTTGAGTAGAAAGGGTTTAAGGTTTATGAGCGGTTGGAGGTTTTCCGGGGAGGGGAGGGGTGGTGGAGGTGCGACGGGCTCCGGGGGATGCCGAAAAGATGGTGGCTGGGCGGTGGGGTAGCTGGAGAACTTGGAAAGTGAAGGAAAAGGGGGTTGTGGGGTGGTGTTGGTGGTGGTGCTATGGTGATGGTGATTCCCTTTTTTGGTTTTTGTAAACCAAACAACATGCTATATGGAATGGGTTTCATTCCATTCTCTTTGAATCCCTTTGTTCATTCCATTCTTTTTACCCTTTGCGAACCAAACGGCCCCTAATTAATTCGGAGTAATTACTTCATATACAAGATCTCAATAATTATCAACAATGAGAGAGAGTAGTGGGTCAAACAAAAAAAAAAAAAAACAATGAGAGAGAGAGAAGAAAAAAAAAAAAAAGACAAATGAATCTACTGACTTGTAAAATAATAAAAATCGAAGTAATGATCACCCTACCCATGCAGCACTAATTAAATGGCAGCTGGACCTTGACAATTATAATACAGTATATATAGTTTGTATATAAAAATATAAGCAAGCAAAAATAGATCCGATCTTCTGTAAACATTAATTTGTGATACAGGGGAAATCTCATCGGAGAAATCAAGTTATACAATCAATATGTCTAAGCCAAGGTATGTTTGCTCACATGCTGGTGTATCTAGTGCTTTATTGTATTAACATGTATCTATATATCCTTTAAATTAATAAGTGGTTATTGTATCGTTCTGTTATTAGATTGGAAGGCAAGGTTGTTTTGATCACCGGAGCAGCGAGTGGTATAGGCGAGGAGGCGGCAAAACTATTCGCAGAGAATGGGGCGTTGGTAGTGGTTGCAGACATCCAAGATGAAATAGGGCAACAAGTGGTAGCATCCATAGGCTTAGACAAAGCCAGTTACTACCATTGTGATGTTAGAGACGAGAAACAAGTTGAAGAAGCTGTTGCTTACACCTTACTTAAACATGGCACCCTTGACATCCTATTTAGCAACGCCGGTGTCATTGGCCCACTGTCCACCGTCCTTGACTTGGATTTGGCCCATTTAGACAACACCTTTGCCATCAACGTCCGAGGGGTGGCTGCTACCATCAAGCATGCGGGGCGGGCCATGGTGAGCCGAAAGATCCGTGGATCAATAATATGCACAGCTAGTGTGTCGGGGTCCATAGCCGGCGTAGGGCCAATGACGTACACGGCCTCAAAGCACGCGGTGGTGGGGCTGGTAAAAGCGGCAAGCAGTGAGCTGGGTGCACATGGGATCCGTGTGAATTGCATATCTCCTTTTGGAGTAGCAACTCCCTTGGCTTGCAATACATACAACATGGAACCAAGTCAACTTGAGCAGAGCTGTGCAACAATAACTAGCTTAAAGGGGATTGTCTTGAAGGCAAGCCACGTTGCTCAGACTGCTCTATTCTTTGCTTCCGATGAATCCGCCTTTATCAACGGCCATAACTTGGTGTTAGATGGCGGATTCACCGTTAGTAGTCACAATCCTGCTCCTCCTAATTAATTAATAATTCATGTTTCTGCCATCTAAATAAATCCTTTCTTCACTATATTATTCGTATTTTGTCGTTGTACTATCAAGTATGCACTGTCAAACGGTTTGACAGTTCGGGTTTGGTTCGGTTTGAAATCGGTTCGGTATTAAATCGGGTCGGTATTAAATCGGTTTAAGTGTCTCGCGGGTCGGTTTTAATTCGGTTTAAATATTTATCGGTTCGATTCGGTTTCGGTTTAATCTTGATCGGTTTTAATTCGGTTCGGGTTGTAAACAGTTCGGGTAGTAAACGGTTCGATGCAAACGGGTTGCGGTTTGTTAATGGTTTGGTGTAAACAGTTTTTATCCCGGTTCAAACAGTTTCGGGTTGGAAGCGGTTTCGGGTTGGAAACAGTTCGGTTCTTTTTTGGTTCGGTTTATAACTGGTTTGGTTTTTTTCGGTTCAGTTTATAATTGATCCGGTTCTTTTTTGGTTCAATTTATAACTAGTTCGGTTCTTCTGCGGTTTAACGTTATTCGGATCGGTTCCATTCCGAGTTTACTAAATTACGATTCGGGTCGGTTTTCGGTTTCAAAAAATCAATTGTTTATCGAGTCGTTTGGATTTGGGCAGTTAAATGGTTTTGGTTTGAAATTTGATAGTATTTGCTGGTTAACAAGTTTTATATAAAGTAAAGACTTCATCATTTCATATTTAGGCATCATATTATAAACAAATTCACATTGATTTTATAAATATATATCATATTCTGTTTCAAGTTTAGTCATATTGATCTTACTAGTGTATTACGAAGTAGATTATAAAAGTTAGTGAATTAATGTATTATTGTTTTACAACTAGGTTGTTATATGTTTCTTATTTAATCATTTAAATACTAGTGTCAAAGTCATGATTTGATGAGTTCTTATTAAATGAAAATTTGCAATTTGGTAATTCGATACTTGATTAATCAACAAGACTGATAATTATGGCTCGTTTATCTTTATATATTTTCATGAAATTATGAAGATATTACAAAGTAGTTTGATTTGTGTAATGAAAGAAAACATTAATGATTTATTAACAAGGTAATATTGATTAGTTCAATCGATCGTATGTACACATTAACGCATAGCATCTAACCATCTCATAGTTAAATACTTCGTATATATTAGTACAAAGTTATAAATTAGTGAACATTATTTTGATTGGATCAATAACTTGAGCTGTTGTTTTAAATTAAATTAGGATCATTGTTCGTGTAGTTTAAGTATAATGATCTACACCATCTCTAACTATTATTTTAATACTCCATCCGTCCCTTTATTTTGTCCCTTTGTCATTTTTGGGGTCAAACTTTGAAAATATTGACCATAAATTACCACTAATCTATAAAACAGTAAAACTTAATTTTGTCACGAGACTCATGAGTCATGACTCATGACTTCATGAGTGATCTTTTTAAATTTGTATCATTATATATTTTATTAATATAACATTTTTATAATTTTTACTTGTATGAAAATAAAGATATACTACGTAGATGTTTTAATACGCGTCTTGGAGACTGATCCCGATCAAATGAATACACAACACACAAAACATCATCTAATCAGTCTCAACCATAGATCAAAAACAATCTACGGTTAATTTTGTTCTCCCACAACACACACGGATCACCACTCTCAACCATAGATTAAAAACAATCTACGGTTAGCTTTTTTCCCCACAACACACACGGAAAACCATTCTCAACCATAGATTAAAAAATCAATGGTTAGATTTACATCTCAACCATTTTGATACCCTAATTCCACTTTCACTTTCACGCCTCCTAGTTCTTTCTCTCTCTCATCTCCTCTCAGATCTCACTCATTCATTCACGGCGCCTCTTCGTTTGTCGTCTCTCTCATTCATTTTCAATTCTCCCTAATTCATTCACGGCGCCTTTCGTTCGTTGTTGCTGCTCATCGGTGTTGTTGCTGCTCTAATCCTCGCTTATCAGTGTTGTTGCTGCTCTAAACCTCTTTTTTTTTGTCCAGGTATGATATCTCTCTTCCTCGTACTTCTTGCAACTGATTTAATCTGATTTATGAAGTAGAATAATTAAAGTTGTAGTTGATTTAATGAGTATATAATTGTATAATTGTAATTTAGTGGTTTATTGTATAACTCTGATTAGTGGTCTATCTTAAGTTAGTTAGTATTTGACGGTTGTATTTCTTGACTGCTTTGCATTATTGTTTGCATATCAATCAAAATGAATCAAGATTAAAGAATTGAACAGGAAAGAGTGAAAGACCAATAATCAAATTTGACATTAAAATTTAGGTTTTCTAAGCTACCACACTATATAACATAGTTGTTCACTACGTTTTGCATTATTATAGTTATAATTCCCCTTAATGAGTATATAATTGTATAATTGTAAGTTAGTGGTAATAGTATATAATATGGGTTCATCTTATTTAATTTTCTAGTAGTTAAAAATTAATGGGTTGCTACTGAAATTTGATTATATGAGTTTATTAGCGTTTATAGAAAAATAATATGGGATTAATGACTTTTCACTCTCTATTCTATTTGTTGGTTTCACTATTAAGTGTACATCTCAATGTAATGGGTTTTCGACTCTTAACTAGAGTGTAAAAAGTACCTAAATGTGTTAGCATTGATAGGGACAATTATTTGTTATAAGGCTGAAATATGTTGTTTTGATCCTGTTTTTTCAGCAATGGATCAAGGGTATGAAAATTATGATGAGGACAGACAAGATTATTTAGAAACTTCAGATTCTCAAAACACTATTCAGAATCAAGATTCTTCTCAGCAACAAGTCACTACCACTAGTGGTAGTAAGCGTGGACGAACATCAGATGTGTGGAGGCATTACACCTTTTTTGATAAGATTGTTGGTCTTGCTCCGATAAGATATGCGCGATGCAATGTTTGCGGTAATGAATATAAAGCACCAGGTAAGGCTGGTACTTCCACTTGTAAAGCTCATACTAAGGCATGCATGGGTAAAAATATACATCATCCTGCAAATCTTGAAAGTGTTGTTGATCCTACGTTTAATCAAACTCGTCATTTACAATTGCTTGCTAGAGCTATAATTTTGCATTCCTATCCTTTAAATATTGTGGAGCATCATGGCCTTAGGGAAGTTTTTACGAATCTAAATCCTAATGTGAAGCATGTGTGTAGAAACACTATGTTGAAATATTGTATTGCTGAGCATGATAAGTTTAAGTCCTTGTTGTTGCAATCTTTTTCTGGAATTGAAGGTAGAGTTAGCTTCACTTGTGACTTGTGGACAGCATGCACTAATCGAGGTTATCTCACTTTAACTGCACATTATGTTGATAAAAATTGGTGTCTAAGGTCTAAAATTCTGAATTTTAGATATTGTGGTCCTCCTCATACTGGTGTTGAGATAGAAAAATTTGTGTTTAAACTTATTGGGGAGTGGAACCTTCAGGGTAAAGCTTTTGCAATTACTGTTGATAATGCTCGATCTATGGATGTTATGGTTAAACTTTTGAAGAAAGATTTAATGTTGACTTCTCCTCTTCCTTGTAATGGTAAATTTTTTCATATTCGATGTTCAACTCATGTCTTGAACATTATTGTTCAAAGAGGTTTGAAAGAAGTTGATAGTAGTGTTCAAAAATTGCGTGAGGTTTGTAAATATATTGATTCTTCGGACTCTAGACTTACTCAATTTGAGCATGCTCTTTCTGAGGTTAACTGTCTATTTAACGGTAAGTTACGTCTTGATGTTGTGACTCGTTGGAATGCCACCTATACGATGCTCCGAAAAGCTTTAGAAGCAAAGGAAGCCTTGAAAGTGGTTATCGATAAGTATATGGGTTATGAATTCAAACTTTCGGATGATGAATGGGATACCCTTGCAAAAATATGTCATTTCCTAAAGCCATTTTATGAAATCACTATGTTATTTTCTGGTTCTGAATATCCTACCGCAAATTTGTATTTTGCTAGTGTTTTGAAAATTGAGCACACAATAACTAAAGCCCATATAGACCCTAAACTTGCACCCATGGCAAAAGTTATGCTTGAAAAGTTTGAGGGCTATTGGGATGACTATAGTTTGATCCTTTCAATAGCTATTGTTCTTGATCCTCGCTATAAGCTATTTCGATTGACGAATATGTTGAAAGTGCTTTATGTTGAGGAGGCATTGTTGAAAAGGCGAAGGTGATTAAAGATGCTCTTTTGGAGTTGTATAACTTTTATTCTTCTATGTGTTCCGGTTTTAAGTCAAGTACAATTGTTTCCCCCTCCATCCCTATTGGGGTTGATAAATCAAATAGTCTCTTGGATGATGATGATATATTCAAGGTAATTATTTTCTGTTTATTGTGGTTTACTAAAATAATAATTATATGTCTTAATTTTTATTATTTAATAAAAGCATATTTTTTGCACTTTTCTAGGATGTTGATGTTGATGATAGCCTAAATCGACCATCGATGGAGATTGATAATTATTTGAATACTCCTCGTCAACCATCAATTGAAGGGCAGAATTATGATGTTCTCAAGTATTGGGAATCTCAAATTAATGTGTACCCCATATTAGCTATTATGGCTAGGGATGTTTTGGCCATTCCTATTACATCGGTAGCCTCTGAGTCTTCTTTTAGCATGGGTGGTCGTATTTTAAACAAGTATAGGAGTGCACTTTTGCCTAAGAATGTTGAGGCGTTGGTTACCACACAAAATTGGTTACGTGGTTATGATTGTGATATTGAAGAAGACGTCCTTGAAATTGGTAAAGAGGTGATAGATGAAAGTTTTGCATCTAATTAGAAAGGTATGGATGTTGCTATTTTACTGATGCTTAATTTATATTGTGTTGCTTAATTCAGGCTTTCTTGTTTTTTTTTTTTTTTTTTTTTTTGTGAGAAAAGTGTAGCTTCATTTCTTACACTAATGATAAGTATAGGGTGCTGCTACTGCTGACTGCTTCTTCTCCTTACTGCTGTTCTGCTGACTTGCTGTGCTGCTGACTTGCTGTTCTGCTGTTGTTCTTCCATTCTGCTGCTGCTCTTCTTCCATTTTGATGTTCTGCTGCTCTTCTTCCATCGATGCAGTTCTGCCATTCTGCTGCTGCTGTCTGCAGTGCTGCTGATCTGCCATTCTGCTGTAGACTGTGGTGCTGGTGTTAATCTTGTTATGCTAAAAACTTGTACAATTCTGTTGTTAAAACTTGTTTGTATGGATTGGTTGGTTTGATTTTGTTACTTTGTTGTTAAAAATTGTTTAATTATGTGTATGGATTAGATTAGTTTGTTTTGGTTTTGAAAAGTTGAAACTTGTTGAATTAGAAGTTTTATAACTTGTTAATGCTATTAATCCTATTATGCTACTGGAATACTGCTATGTTGATGAATAAGGCCCAAAAGGCCAAAAAATTGTAGGTTATTGCCCAAAAAACCAAAATTGCAGATTATTCCCCAAAAACCAAATTAAAGTCAATACTCACGGATTAGCTAACGAAGTGCTATTTCTAAGGGAATTTAGTATTAACTAAGTTACTAAGATATATACAATTAATATGATAAGTATATGGTCTCAAGAAAAATTGATAAGTATGGAATATATGCTAAATATATTCTAAGATTTCTAATACTTAATCCAAATAATTACATAAAAAAGTGCACCAAAAAAAATTTTATTATTACATACAAAAAAAGCTTGTAAACGGTTCGATTTATAAGCGGTTTGGTTCATAAACGGTTCGGTTTATAAGCAGTTCGGTTCATAAATGGTTCGGTTTATAAGTAGTTCGGTACAATCAGTTCGGTTTTTAAATGGTTCGGTGCAAACGAGTAGCAGTTTGCTAACAGTTCGGTGTAAGCGGTTTTTATGCCAGTTTAAATGGTTTCGGGTTAGAAACGGTTCGGTTCATTTTCGGTTCGGTTTCCTTTTCAGTTCGGTTTAGATTTGGTTCGGTTCTTAATCGGTTTAACGTTTTCTCGGATCGGTTCGGTTTTGGTTTTACTAACATGCGGTTCAGGTTGGTTTTCGGTTTCAAAAAAATCGGTTTTCAATCGGTTCGGTTCTCATTCGGATCGGTTGAAACAGTTCGATTTCACCGGTTCGGTTCGGTTTTTGACAGTGCTAAGTATGGTATATTATTGGTGCGATTTTTGTTGGTATGTGCTTGTTTACTTATTACGTCTGCAGTGTCTTTTAATTTGAAATTTGGGATTACATTAATCTGTGATCAAGCTAAGCTAAAAGCCGAAACACATGGAGTAAAATTGTTTTTGGCTCTCATTTACTAACATGCTTTGTACTAATACTTTAATTTGTATGTTGTGTATCACTAATAGGTGTGCAATTAAGTTATCGGCACAACACAAGTACGTATAGCCTTGTGTTCCGTATAATTTTCGATTAAATTTATAACAATGGTAACGAATTAGCAAAAATTGTTAGGGTAACATATTCAATCACCAAAATTGGTTTTCGATGAACAAATAAATTAATCATACTAACCCAAAATCAATGAAAGACACATTTAGGACCTGTTCTCATAAACTGAACTGAAGTGAAGTGAAATGAAAATTTTATAAAAGAAAGAAATTAGAAGATGAAGTGAACTGAATTGAACTAAGCTGAAGTGAACTGAAAATAAACGTATGAGAACAGAACCTTAGTTGAACAGTTTGATATTTGTCATTTGTGCACACAAACAAATACAAATAGTAGAAATTTGGGACAGTTTTGAATTTTCTTGGATATTAAAGAATAGGAGAGTTGAGTTGTTGAGTTCTAGTCTCTTACACGCCTCTCCCATTTTTATACTAGTAGAACCATGGAAATTCGGGATGTAGACAGTAGGCCCCTCCTCCCAAAAAAAAAAAAAAAAAAAAAAAAAAAAAAAAAAAAAAAAAAGGAACAAGTGGGAAGGAGTGATAGGAAGCAGTAGATCTTCATCTTAGTGTTGTGGATTGAAAAAAGCAGAATGTTTTCAACATCCATAGTAGCACCTTCAAATCGAAGCTCGATTTCAGGACCCCAGCTTAGTTTGTTGATGAGGGCAGCATCAACTTCAAATCCAAATTCCAAGTTTGATTGTTATTTGAGCAACAAAGTTGGTTTCAATTCTTTAAAATCAAAAGCAGCCACTCGACTCCTGTTCAAAATCCCAAATGGATTTGTCTCCAAACGCCCTTTCCGTTTCCGACCTGTCGTGGAATTGCAAGATTGCACGTTTGTCTCTCTCTCTCTCTTTGAATCATTGAATTTGTGAATAGAATTAAGATAAAGTTTACAATGAAATGCAGGGTGAAGAAGGAAGTTGATGTGCCTGTATCTGTTGCGTATAACTGCTACTCTAATCGTGAAGACATTCCTAAGTGGATGCCTTTCATTTCATCTGTTAAGGTTGCTTGTTTTTTTCAATTCCGCAAAATACTTTTGTGATTTATTTTTTTTTATGGTGAAAAATAATGGAGTATATTTGAGGTGTAAGCAGGTGGTGGAAGATAAGCCTGACCAATCAAGATGGACGCTGAGATATAAAGCATTTGGTCGTGATATTGAATTCTCTTGGCTTGCTCGAAATCTGCAACCCATTCCAAATCAAAAAATTCATTGGAGATCTCTTGAAGGCCTTCCGAACAGGTGAGATTTGTTATTTGTATGCAACAGGAATAATTCTTTGTTGATGAAATAATTCTTCCATTGCAGTGGTGCTGTTCGATTTTACCCAAGAGGGCCTTCATCCTGTCTTATAGAAGTAAGGACCCCTTGGCCCTTGGTATTCCTCATAAACCTCTAATGTTAAGACCTCTTCATGTGGGCTTTTGCTACATAATACTCTAAAGCTGAATACCATTTGTTAACTCACTCTCTCCTAAATTATCTTCTTTCACAGCTCACTGTGTCTTACGAAGTTCCTCAGCTTCTGTCACCTGTAGCATCAGTAAGCATCTTTCCTTTCAAATAGGTGTTTTATATTTCTCATTGCTGTTGCTCTGCCTTTTCCTTTCCTCACGACATTCTTGGCATTAACTTCACCTGCTTCTCTATACTTGCAGGCACTTCAACCTTTTCTTGAAAGCCTGCTTCTACGAGGTTTGGAAAGGTTTACAAACTTCGCCAAAAACAGTCAACTAGAGTCCACCAACTGATCCTGTGTGAGTCACTCAACTGCAGACACTAATTGTATTGTATAAGTCATCTTTTTTATAGGAATATCCATATCCTGTTGCAAATTGTAATCACTCTTGCTTACTTATTTCACCAATTTACTTGCAGCCACCTCACATTTTCAAGTCCAAAATCAAAAATCAGAACCCTGGCTTGTAAATGTGTAATTGATTATAAAACCAAGAGATTCTTCAGGAATTGTAACCAACAACAACCAAAACCCTGGTGTACATGTGTAATTGGTAATTGAACCTTTGGTTGATAGACTTGATATACCTATATAATAAAACACCTGTTTGGTATGCGCTTTTATTTTAGTGCATCTGAATGGATGGAATTGTGTAATCTGTTTGTATGTACTCCGTATAACTTGAAACGCAAAACCTATGCCTGCATGATTTTGTCCACATTATTCTATGTCTTGGATGATTCATTTTCCTGTTCTGTTTCTTTCGCAATAATTTGAATAGGTCGGCTTACTTGATATTGCCATGGCGTTTTACACATTCCCTCCCCTCCCTCTCTTTCACTCTTCTCTCCCCTTTTCAATGTAGTGTGGCCGGTGTTTGGTGTGGGTGAGTGGTTGCAGGAGTGGACTGTTTGAGTGAGATGACGGGGGAAGGGAAAGGAGAGAAAGAGAGAGACCATAGGATCAAGCAATCTATGATGACATTTAGCACTTATCTATATACTCGTCCGTATTTCCGCTACAATAGAGTACTCAACTTCACAAGAGAGACGCTATTCAAAAAAAAAAAAAAAAAAATTCACAAGAGATATATTCATGACATTGGGAAGTAAAACAAAGGACTTGCCTAATTGCAGCCTACTGAAACAAAATTGTACGTAACCACTCGTATGACAAATTAGATATTGTGATGCAGAGTACTATACATGATTACATATTTAAGTGCACTACTTCAAAGTTCAAACCCGAGAGTCAAAGCTGTTTAAACACTTTAAAAGGGATATGAGCTGGATGATATATGATGATCAATTTGAGAACAAAAATGAATTAAAAACACAAATGCAATCACTGAATACTGAAAGAATAGAGCATTGTTTATACACCTCCAAACACCTTCAATCCCTTCAATTATATTCACATCAACCTGTCCTGCCAACAATAGCCCGATACACAGCAGTTAAATAGTCTACCATCAAAAGAAAAATCCCCTAACAAAACTGCAAGCCGCTTTTTCTAACAAGTCCTACTGAAGCAGCTTAAAACAGTAACATTGATTATCTCCATCAATCACGCACAGTACATTGAGCACACCGACTTCTAAACAGATCATATTTACACTCTTAAAAATGAATCAGTGACTGTCATTGGTCTCCAGCAAGCTATTCAGAGTAGACAAGGCCTCTGCTGAGAGGCTGCACCGGAATCTCCGAGGCCTGGACCCTGATTGTTCTCTCTGGTGATCGAAAGATGAAAAGCACACAACTATGACAGTGAGATTGTCAAAGGTGTGGAGCCTCAAAGCCTCTCTGACCAGCTCCTTTGCACATAGTTCTGGGTCATCATGCCGCCTTAATCCACGACGCACGATGCTGACTGCTTGTTGGCTTGACAATACATCCCAGATTCCATCACATCCAATTATGAGGAACTCGTCATCTTCGGTCAAAATAATTTGTCTCAGTTCCGGATCGGCAATGAGGGGTGAGGCTGAACCCTTGGGAAGTTTCATGTCCCAGTCCCCCAGAGCCCTAGTCACTGATAAAACTCCATTCAGATATCCATCGTCTATGTAACCCCCTAATTCTTCAACTCTCCTCTTCTCTGATGGATATGTAGGCCTGTGGTCTTGAGACATATCAATGGCCTCTCCTTTCCGACAAAGGACAGCTCGACAATCACCAGCATTTGCAACCAGCAAGAGCCTGAAAGAAAGCAAGCACAAAGATAAATGGTCAGATACTTATTCCGAAGACTGTAAAGACAGAGAAAAAGCCGCTGCATACAGAATAATAATAAGCTCATAAACAATCCCCATTTCATTAAATGGTCATGCTAAACTAGCTAGTCGCTTATAGTGTATAGTCGTATACTTCATCAAAGGGAGCAACATAGTTTCATCAAGTACAACACAATGGTACTTGAAACACTGGCAACAATATCAAGTAACAGAGGAGGCATGACACCAGAAAAAATGAAACTAAAAAAGCAGACACACAAAAAGAAGCAAACTCCAGGAAGAGCTAGCAATTTGCATTTAACATACCTTCCCAGTATCAAAGCTGTAAGAGCAGTTGTTCCTGAAGAAGTACTGATGCTGCAATCATCAGAAAGGGCTAGATCTGCCAGAAGAAAGGCTTGGCGAAGGCAATTCTCCACTCCTTGAAGAAATATGTCATTCAATTCAGAGGCTTCGGGGAAATTGACATCTTCAAAAAAGAATCTATTGACATTATTGCGGACATAAGCTGCTGCTTCAGGTCCTCCATGACCATCAAAAACCCCATAAAAAGCACTAGGCTTGGGACATGTAAACATTGAACCCAAATGCATACAAAGATCATCAATCCTTATATGTTCATCTTCCATGAATCTGCGCGGTCCAATGTCAGTAAAGCTTCCAGAGCGGATAATTGGTACAAACTGCTGCATGGTAGAAGAAAGAGAACCGTCTGCCACTGCATCCGGGGTCTTTTTATCCTAAAATTAAGAAAATTAATCAGTATCCATTATAAAGTAACATAATAAATCCAACAACTCCAACAACCAGGCCTCCAGCATAGCTTTGAACGGTTATATAAACAGACATGATACAGTCACAACACCAACTTTGATCATGATTAAATATACAAAAAGACAGTGATATAAAACTGGAAAAGCACAATCGGAGTTTAATTGGTTCGAAAATGATATTATTCTTCAAAACTACACTTGAATTACTACTAAAAATTGTTAACAGGAAAAAGAAACACCAAACTAAAATCAAATTGGCATGTGCGAGTTATTATCAGAGCTGGGTTCGCTCCAGAGTCTAGACAATAATGTTGAGTTGTCAAAAGCATAGCCTGATTTACATGACAAAGGGGTATTCGAGATAAACAAGTGGTGCCAGGAGATGATCACATAGTCTGCATGTATCCTCAAATTTATATACAGCATACATGCCTCACAGATTCAGTCTTTGTTACCTAATCTTGCTACCTTCCAATTCATATACTATACCTTATGATCAACCAGTTCAAATTTGAGCAGGACAAGTTTAATGATTCAATTGTGTAACTATATTGATATTCTGTAAAGAGTTAGAAATTTAAACTTGTATAAAGCAGTAAACCTCGGAGCTTCATCTAACAAGGGTTTGCAAATCTTGAAGAAGAAGGACAAAAAGCATACAACTGTGATCAAACCTACTAGTTTCAAATTAATCCAATATTTTCTGAATCAATACTAGTGGTTGATAAAAGTAACGAATCGGAATACAGGGAGAATTACCCAGAAAAAAACCTAACCCATGAAAAGAATCAAGAAATGTTACGATCCAGAAACTTACAAGTTGAGAACAGGCGAGAACGGCGTCGAGACTAGGAACAATTTGAGGACAAACAACTTCAGCGTCAGCACCCATGTCGCTCTATACCATCAATAGTGATAATCCGACTTGCTAGTAAATTGAATTGCAAAATACAAAACCCTAAATCACGCTTCTTTATTAATTTTAATAAATCAATCAATCGATGAATCAAAGATAATAGAATTGTATAACAGCAGATTTGTGTAAAGAATAAGGAAAGCTGGATAAAAATTGAAGCTGGTATTTGGGTTTATAATAAAAGAGTCAGAAAAATTCCAGAAAGCGGGAGAAGGTTTTATATGAATGAAGGAATTATTACGGTGGAAAAACAATAGAGGCGGTCATCTGGGTTCACGCGGGGTACACGTGTCTTTTTTTTTTTATATGATTCCCAATTCTGCACTTACTTTCTCACCGCTTTATTTGACAAGCCATGAGGGTATTTTTGGGATTTCATCCATATTCCAGATGGCGTACCTCCCACGTCAATCTTCCTGTCCACGCGTCGGACTTATTTGATCGTTTTTAATTTAACGTTTACCGAGTAACTACGATCTCTATACAGTATTTTTTACATTTACTGTGCGTTGACTCTACGTATTTTTCCCCTTTTCTTTTCTACAATTATTGAGGTCAGCTCTTCTGCCTTTTTCCACCTGCTTTTCCATTTTTTTTATTTTTTTTGGTGGTTGTTATGATGACTGAGATAGATCATAGATTTTATCATCTACTCTATGCTCTATGTATGCTGAGATTATTGCTTTTAGATATTTTCTTAGATTTCCTTTTCATTGTTTCTTTCTTCCTTACAATTCCAACTTTTCAAGAGTACAATTTTAACTGACAAAATTAGGTTAGATGCTCGATCAAGTTTAATACAAAGATCATGTAAAGAGCGCAAGTAAAATCTAAGAATATCCACTTTTAGATAGAGATTTTCTTCAAAATTTAGTCATACAATATGTATAACATGAAGGGCGGTGGAGGCCCGACCCCCCATGGACCAATTTTGTGGCCTTTAATCTTAACTGCTGGCCCCTATAAGTTTTTTGAACAAATATTATCTCTGTTTCCTATGATTTGCAACGATTAGACATAAAGTAGAGAGAAAAAATGTCTAATCGTTGCAAATAATATGAAACAGACGTACTCCCTCCGTGTATTTAATAAGCGTTACAATTTGACCAAACACGCCGAGGCACAAGTTTGACCATTAATTTATGTAATTATATATTAGTAAAATTATAGAAAAGTTGATATTATGAAAGTATATATTATAGCGAATCTAACGATGTATTATACAATGACATTTGATTTTTATATATTGGTAAAATAATCAAGTCAAAATCATTATGTGACTAATGAAAACAACGAAAACACTTACTTCGTATTAAAACACGGAGGGAGTAGTAATATTATTGTTATAACTTAAGTTATATTTAACGATTGTCGCAGCGGTTTGAATACCATTGTTTGGGGTTTAATTAGATCATAGGATCAAGCCTATTTTCACATTAATTTTTTTATTAAAGTTTTAGTCGACCCCTATAGCTTTAAAATTTTGGCTTCGCACCTATATATATATATAATCTTGATTAAAAGAAAGCATATTATAATTTAAAATATACCGAATAAAGAAATTGCCAAATTAAATAAATTGGAGCTTAGGAGTATCGCATTCTCATCGTAATGATTGACTTACTCATCACTTGGGACAATTCAAGAAGATAGTATGAGCAATACGGTATCATAGTTGTATTATAATCAGAAAATATAGTTATTTGGATTGATATACAAAGTCGAGGAACAAACAAGCCAAGTAACTAAGAAACGTAAGTGAAGAGACATTCATCCCATAATAATAAATCTCCTGATTACATGAAAAATATGCGATAGATATGGTTGGGGGACCTAATCTAGAATCTAGAAATTGAATGGGGTGGCAAAAGATGATTGGATAATGGGCAAAACAAAACAAAAGAAAAGGAAGGGTCCTCAACTCCTCATCCTAAGTTAAAGTAAAGTTTGAACAAGAGAATCTATCTAATAATACTTGATCGTATGAATGAAATGGGAGTAACGTCATCTACTTCAATAAGTTTATTTGCAACCACAACAATAAAAATAATATAAATTTGAAGGTGGTCAATTGGCAACTTCTACTTGGCACTATCACATTCATTCACAACCTCCACATATATACAACGTTGCCATGTTCATCTTTTGCAATTACCCTAATTAAAGTGCAATCTATCTTTATTTTCTATTTCATCCATCACTTTGTTTGTTTCATAATAATTTTATTTGTGTCATGAGAAGTTATTATTATGTTTCTTTTTATCAAAAAGTTATTAAGAACTTAACACTAAATAAATAACCACATCGCAAAAGAAGAAGATTATAAAAAACAAATAAATAAATACAATACAACATACCATAGACAAAAGTTAGTTAGTTAGTATCATAGTTCATAGATGAAATAGAGAGAAAGCTAGTATAGTTGGATGGTAAATGTATTGTTATTTTTAATACTACGTAGTTTCTTTAAACATTAGTACATGATGCGTACAGATGAAATAGAGAGAATACTACGTAGTATCATAGCAACATAGGTACAAAAGCATATCGATAGACAAGAATGTCTCAAGGTTGAAAATTATTTTATTGCCTACTTAGACAAATGCTTATTTTGTGGTTTGTTTTGTTTGAAATGGTATGAAATGCAAGTATGCAACATATCGTTTACCAAATTTTCCAATAAAGTAAAAGGCTTAAATGATACTCTATAAATCAATCTATCTATGTTGTACCATAAAGCACCACCACATGCTAAGCAGCCCATATACTTTACAAAGCTATAAAACAAAATCCTTTATGGGCCCGTATATGGGCTCTATGGTGCACATGCTACAATAAGCAAACACTATATGGGCTGATTTTGAATTGGACTAGTATTTCTTCTAGACTATAGAGTTTTGCCATCTTTTCATTCATTCTTTTCTCTTCCCCTCGAGTCTCGAGCAAAAGATTGCATTAAGCCATTAAGGCATTAACCCGTAATACACTAATGCCTTCATCCATAAGTGATAAGTGTATGTGTGCAAGGGTAGTTTTGTTATTCTAGGGGAGATAATATCATAATGCTTAACGCTCTTCGCCGAAGCCAAATATCATTTTCAATTTCAGGCTTTTCAGCATATACGGAGTATATTGTTGATAAGTTTTTGATTAAATAGTGACCTAGCTTGCATTCTACTAAGGATCTGTTCTCTTTCGCTTAATTTCAGTTCACTTTAGTTCAGTTTCTAATTTCTTTCTCTCAATAATAGCTTAGTTCAGCTCAGTAAATCAAAACAAACCCTAAATCCATCATTTTTGTTCAGTTGTTTTTTTTTTTTATTTACCGAGAATAAGACGGATTTTATATCGTACTACCAATTACGTACATAAATTTCTTAGTAATGAATGTTAAATAGTTACTCAATAGTATTTTTAAACTTTGTCTAATTCAACGTATCTTAATTGGAGTTATATTATTTGAACATTTGAACTTATAATACTCTTGTTATTATTTCAAAAAAAAAAAAAAAAATCCTCATAAGCATAAGTATTAAATTAATGACATTGAAAGTTGTAATTAGGTAGGAAGTAAGATGCCTTAGAAATAGGCGGGCAAATTGGACCAGGAATGTGGATAAGATGTGTCTGATTATGAAGCTAAGGGGACATGACACTCTGTACCCTCCGTAGTTCTGTACTCCGTATATAATACGAGTAATTGTAAATTTGTGTTGAAATATGAAACCATCCAATATCTTGGCTTTGCTACAATAAAACAAACTGTAAATATTTCTAGGACTGAATTTTGTTTACAAAAACTGTGCCTGTATTAGTTTAATGTAACAACCAACTAATTATCATTACTATCGTTCAAAAGGTCGGTTTGACCGTGCTAGCTACCAATACTAATATGTTTCTATTTCTCAATTTCATGATAAAGGATCTTCCTAACGAATACGTTAAGGGACGTTGGATAAGATTTAAAATATTGCCTAAAGTAGTATTTATTAATTTGGAAAAACATGACCAAATTACGTTAATATTGTTTTAAATGAATAGTAAGGATAGAATTGAATTGATCTTATGTTAATATTGTTTTAGCTACTCTTTTGACCAACTCAATTTAATAGCTAGTTCAGTTAGATTCAATGAAAACATAATTCATCCTTGAGATGACAAAGATAATGTAGCATAGATTGTTTCATAGGTAGGATGTGGGTAAAGGCGAGCATGAGTTGAGTTGTGCAAGTTCATTTGTTGTGCCAGCGGGTCTGGTGTATAAGCAAGTCGTGCTTGAAATGGACTAAGGAATAGTTGTGTTTATTGAGTTCGCACAATTTTCATAAACATGGGTCCAGTTTCTAGTGTTTATATTTTACATAAGTGAGCGAACACGCTGAATGAATACTAATTTTAGGAAATGATATTCACACGTGTGAACATGTTAGGGCCTGTTCTCTTACGTTGAAATTCAGTTCAGTTCAGCTCAATTCAGTTCAGTTCAGTTCAACTCAATTCAGTTCAGTTCAGTTCAGCTCAGCTCCTAATTTCCTTCTCTTATAAAATATTCATTTCTATTCATTTCAGTTTAGTTCAGCTCAATTCAGTTCAGTTCAGTTGAGTTCAGTCAATGAGAACAGGCCCTTAGACTCGTGACTTTATGAACAATTTGTCAAGGCGTAGAGCCATTTGTTTTCTGTGCTTGCATGACACATTCATAAATGACAAACTTTTAAATAAAACGGATGTTCAGTAATATTTACTGAACATCTGTTATAAAGTAACAATAAAATGTGCAAAAGTTACAATACAATGCACAAAAGTTACTCTGACATATATAAGAGTTATTTATGCTTCATTGATAAATTTGACAAAAGTGACACTAAATTTGACAAAAGTGACACTAAATCTGACAAAAGTGTACCCGATGTACAGTAAATTACTGAAAATCGGGTGTATACAAAAGTTCTCCTTCATAAATTTAAGTGTGAAATAGACAAAAGTGACACTAAATTTGACAAAAGTGACACTAAATCTGACAAAAGTTAACCCGATGTACAGTAAATTACTGAAAACCGGGTGTATACAAAAGTTTTCCTTCATAAATTTAAGTGTGAAATAGATAAAAAAAAACACAAAAATAAATTGTGTTGTGTGACTTGTGCTATGCTAAGTTAAGAGTATGTTACTGTATTGGTCTTGTTACAAAAAAATAGTACAGTTAAGCTCAAGTATTTGAAGGCACAGATTGATGAAGTGATGATAGTCCAATGACCAAAGAAAACAATATGTTTGAATAGTTTGTATAGTTATGGTTAAGAAAAGTAAGAAAAAACGGAAAAAGTAATCCAAAATAGGGAAATAATAAAAGCAAAGGGGCCATTCAAGTTTGAATGGTCAAAAAGGAGGAGAGAGACTAATGACTATGTCTATTGCAATTACAATTTACAATTTATAATAAATGATTAAATTTTGTAATTGGGTGAAGAATTGCTGAATCAAAGAGAGAGAAACAGAAAGAGTGTATTGATTATTGAATACAGACTTTCTCCCTTTGACTGTCACCAAACCCCATAACACAAGCTTCATCTTCTTCTTTCAAAACCCATTTTATAAGTCTTCTTCATTCTCCTCCTCTCTCCATTTTTTTTTTCTCTCATTTTCCAGCAACCTGTTTTCCATCTTCCCGCCTTTACTGGTATGTCATTTTGCTCTGTGATTTTTCTCCCCTTGTTCTCTAGTGATTTTTCTCCTTTTTTTTTTTCCTGGGTTTTTAATCATCGATTCACATGTTTTTTTTTCTTTTTTTCCACTCTATCTCTTTTAATTTGTGTTTCCTTTCAATAATTTGATCATCCGGATGTTATTCTTTTACATGAATTATTATTTTGCAATTAGGGTTACCCTACTGAATTTGGGCGACTTTCCTTTTTGCCGTCTGTTTTGTGTATAGCAAGTTGTTAATCCATCCTTTTTTCTTTAGTTCTGTCTTTTCCTAATATATTTTTTGCCAGGATCTCTGTTTTTTTTTTTTGTTTCAGAAGAACAACTAGGTTCTGAAAACAAAAAAAAAAGTACAAATTTCAAGTTTGTATCTTTTCTTGTAGTTAGAATTAGTGATTCGTTTAGTTTTTGTGATCTGGGAAAGTTTAATCATTCTTTGTCAAATTTCAACAAAGACCCATTGCACCAATGCACTAAAGTTCTGGTTTTTATTACTCCCTATATTATAAAATATCCCCCTCTTAATTAATGCACTTAATTGTTTTTATATGGTTCAATAAACTTAAAGGCGCATATTTTGAGGTGCTCTTTTGAAAAAATGTTCAATGGCTTGCTTAAAAATGGTACCTTTTATTTAACGATTAATTTTCCGGCGGATGTGGATCTTGTATTAGCAGCTCTTTGGGTACAAGTACAGAGTAATTAATTATTGATTATGTTAAAAAGACAAAAGTTTTCTGCAAATCGAGGAAACTGACCCTGGTAATAATTTGTTGATGATTTGAAGTTATCTTATGTTTATCCATCATCAAGGTTGGAAGTTGCCAGAGCACTTCACACTTTTGTCTTTTCCATAGCAGTTATATGTTTATTGATGGCTTAATGAGCAAGGGTCTTACCATTTCTTTGATATCTATTTTCTTGCAACAGATTGTTATTTGTCTTTGGTTTTATTGTGTGCAAACGCTTGGTGGCTTCTCCTTCTTTCTGATTTAGATGGCTTCGGGGGGTATTCCTCCCACTTCCGGACTTAGAGAACGCGGTGGCATCGCCGGTGCCATTGATGGGATGAATGACATGAAAATTAGAGATGATAAGGTAATTATCTACTTTTGATCCCCTGTATCGTGTATCCTTCGCTTCTTTCCGTCGCTTGATGCTTATTTATGGGAATGCTTGCCTCGGTCTTTTTAGGAAATGGAAACTGCTGTTGTTGATGGTAATGGTACAGAGACCGGTCATATAATTGTCACCACCATTGGTGGTAAAAATGGACAAGATAAGCAGGTAATATGGGATTGCCATGTACATTGTAGTTATTCTGTTGTAAAATATGTGCTCTTGTTTGATTTATGCCTTTGTGTTTTCAGACAGTGAGTTACATGGCTGAACGTATTGTCGGACAAGGATCCTTTGGAGTAGTGTTTCAGGTAAACTTGGCAATGACTGATTTAAAGCTTTTATCTTTTGTTTACAAAGGCAAATAATCAACATTCTTTTACACTTGAAGCCACCCTGGATAACATTACTAATATACTAATGTTGGGATGTCTAGGCAAGGTGCTTGGAGTCAGGTGAAACTGTGGCTATAAAGAAAGTCCTTCAGGACAAGAGATACAAAAATCGTGAGCTGCAAACAATGCGTCTTTTGGATCATCCCAATGTTACCTCTTTGAAGCATTGTTTCTTTTCCACAACTGGGAAGGATGAGCTCTATCTTAATCTGGTGCTTGAGTTTGTCCCTGAAACTGTTCATCGTGTCATCAGACACTACAACAAGATTAATCAGAGAATGCCATTGATATATGTAAAGCTGTACACATACCAGGTATCTGTAGTCCGAGGGTTTGATTTTAAAGTATATAAGATACTTAAAGCGTATAATTCTAACAATCGCTTTTACTGACACCAGATCTGTCGGGCATTGGCCTACCTTCATGGGACTATTGGAGTATGCCATAGAGACATTAAGCCTCAAAACCTACTGGTAATGGTCTTTGAAAGGTTTTCCATTTGATATTTTCGATTTAATTGCTGTAGAAATCAATTTTTTCTATTGTGAATCTCATATCATGTTTTATCGATTCAGGTCAATCCGCATACACACCAATTAAAGATTTGCGACTTTGGAAGTGCTAAAGTCTTGGTTCGTCCTCGTTTTCATGTTCTAACATTTTGTGTTGTTAATTGTCTTTGTCAGAGTGTCAGCTTCATTGCTGTTGATACTATTTTTTCTTTATTGGCTGTAAGACCATATTTTTATCTTAATGGCAGGTGAAAGGAGAGCCAAATATATCTTATATATGCTCCAGATACTATCGTGCACCAGAACTGATATTTGGAGCAACTGAGTACACAGCAGCAATTGACATTTGGTCTGCTGGCTGTGTTCTTGCTGAGCTGCTGCTTGGACAAGTATGTTTTTGACTTCAATGGTTTTAGTTGAGTTTGTGAGACTATGCTGCTTCATACATCATAACCATGGTCTGTGTATGCTTGCTTTTGCAGCCTTTATTCCCTGGTGAGAGTGGAGTTGATCAGCTTGTGGAGATTATTAAGGTGATTGCCATAAATCTTCAATTTTCTGTGATGTGTTTCCATGATTCTTTATGTGAAGATGTTGGAATTTTTTCTATGTGATTGCCATCAAAATGCTTCCCAAATTAAGTAGGATTTCAGGCATTGCATATTGGATGGTTGTGGCTTGAATTTGCTTGCTAATAATTGTAAATACAGAAAGATACTGCATTTTAATTCTCTTTTGACTCTAAAACTTGCGTAATAATATATGCAATAGTAGGTTAAATTGATACTGTCTCACATTCAATTAGCAAGGTACTAATAATAATTGAGTAATAATTCCTTAAATTTTATGTGGCACTCCCACTTTCTTTTGTGGTAGAACATGTGAGTGAATGAGATGCTATAAATCAATGGGTTTCAAAATCATCAGTACATTCACTGGTTACTTTCCACTTGCACGCATTTACAGGAAGTAGTTTGGTGCATACATAAGTTGCATGCTTGTGCAAAGTAGCAAAAGCTGAAGTTGGGTATGGAGTAAATGAAATCCAGAAGCTTATTGCTAAAATTTGTCTTAGTCTTTGCTCCCGGCTCTGGGGTTTTAACAACCCAATGTCCTGTTTTTTATCTTGGCTATACATGTTGATATTTAACTCTACTTTCTCTTCTTTTACCAATGTAGGTTTTGGGTACCCCTACAAGGGAAGAAATAAAATGTATGAATCCCAATTACACAGAATTTAAGTTCCCTCAAATTAAAGCTCACCCATGGCACAAGGTATGCCGGTCTTCTATCTGCTATTCCTTTAACCTTTACTGTGTGACCTAGCTAATCTTGGCACTTACTCTTTTAAATTCAGATCTTCCACAAGCGAATGCCTCCTGAGGCTGTGGATCTTGTCTCAAGACTTCTGCAATATTCCCCAAACCTTCGATGCACAGCTGTGAGTATCCAAGTGCTATTTTCTTCTATGATAGTATTTGTTAGCCTAGTGAATGTCTGTTTTTAATCATTAATGTAATAATGTCTGTTTTTAATCATTAATGTAATAATGTCTGTTTTTAATCATAGCTTTCCATCAGTTCCATCTGCATGTTGCTGGATTTGGATTTCACTAATCTGTGGTACCTTTTATTTTCTGTCTTAATGCAGTTGGATGCTTTGACTCATCCGTTCTTTGATGAGCTACGTGATCCAAATACTCGCTTGCCCAATGGACGGGCCCTACCCCCACTCTTCAATTTTAAGGCTCATGGTATAGTCTCTTTGCTAGACCCCCTCACCTTCCCCAGAAGTTTTATTTTGCTCTTTTTTTAGTTCTTCTCTCTTCCTTGAGTGCTTGCTTACGCATTTTTCTGCTATTTACCAGAACTAAAAGGAGTTCCAACAGAAACTTTGGTGAGGCTTATTCCAGATCATGCTAGAAAGCAATGTGCTTTTCTTGGATCATGATGTGGTACATGATCATGCTCAGAAGAGGTGCTTCATGGAGAACTATTTCAGCTGTTTTGAAGTAGATAAGCTATATGCATATTCAAGGGAGGATCTTTGGAGGTTATATTATTTCTATTAACATTATGTTCTCTGCTAACATGCTCTGATTAAGTTGATAATATTGCCGTAATATGTTGTTGCTCATGGAAGCGCGTTGTGAAGGTTCTGTTTATTGTACCCAGAACCTGATAGGCGATGAACCATTGTCTGTAGATGTAACTGTAGGTTGTAACTATGTATCGAATTAAATGATCATTTTATTCTTTCATATGGTTCACTTTGTTATGTGACTCCAAGTGAGGATGAGAGACGCTGCATTGCTGTAGCTGTTGTGCTTTACAAATTTTATTTTTATTATTGGTGCTACTCTAATGGGTGATGAAAACCCTATTGCTCATTTACTTTCCCTTTTTCTCACCCTCAGAGAATTATACTTGGAATTTACCACTCAATTAATCTGTGAAATTATTTAGGCTTGAAACAGAGCCATCAAATAGAAATTGTGGCTGTATGTTCTTGCCATGCTGATAATGTTTTGTACTTTACTCGGTTACTCCTGCAATGTACAATCAGTGCTGTAATCATATGGTTTGTCAGATACGGGTTGTGTTTGTCTAAAATTACGGTTAGCTTGTTTGTGTGGGTCAACAACTGGATTATTTGCTCTGAATGGAATTTACCTACAACTTTGGGATGTTTCAAATACATATACTGATAGATATGCTACAGTATTAAATTTTGAAAGTTACTTTTATCCGAAATACTCGACTATACTTTTGAATGAAGTAGGAGAAATACTGGTACATGGTTTTGGTTTTCATCCAGGAATAGGATGTTCTCATTTGAAGCAAATAAAACTATGATTTACTAATTTTCTGCAAGGGTAATGTGGCCTCCTTTGTTTTGCACCAAAGACAGTTTGCTACATTCTCAGCTGGTTCTGATTTGGTTGCTTATGCTGGATAGTCTGCTTAGTATGGCATATGATTTTGTTGAGAATCTATGAGAACGTACTCAATAATAATTATGCATTAGTTTTAAAATTTTACCGAGGGTCTGTTCTCATACATTTATTTTCAGTTCAGTTCAGCTCAGCTCATAATTTCCTTCTCTTATAAAATATTCAGTTCAGCTCAGTTTAGTTTAGCTGAGTTCGGTATATGAGAACAGGCCCTGAGTTTGAGTTGGTTTTCGGTGAGTACATAAAGATATTGTTCATATCAATGTAATTGAAACGAGGAAATTAGTTAAAATTTCAGAGATCAGGTAAAGCCAGCTGATAACTGTTTTGTCAAAGATTAAGGGTTGCAAATCCCTTGGAAGACAATCTTGTTTGTCAAGGAAGAAAATGCGGCAGAAAAAAGTTATAAAGGCGTTGTGAACTTGTGAAGTAGTGTATAAATGTATAATGGTACTTTGAGGATAATATCAGTATAGAGAACCCAAAGAATCTGCAATTGCTGCTTTTGGTTTTGAAATGAGGGTAGAATGAAGAGAGGACCAATCCCAATTGACTTCTTTAAGCCACTTTGGTGCGGTCCTCCTGCAGATAGGCATACCGCGAATGTATATCCAAATCCAAAATGCTTTCTTCCTAGGTCTACCAACAAGGCAATGTTATTTTCACCCAAGTACGTACTACTCTTTCATCTTATTAGTTCTTGATGTCTGTGTCCTGTAGTTGACACTTGTGTGGTTTATTGAGTTTCCATTTTTGACAGTTTAGATTTTATCATCTGACACAAGAATAGGACAACTATGTTACTCGGACACTTGATTCATCATTGTAAAAGAATTCAAGAACTATGAAATTAACAGAGTGAAACTCAAGAGTAGCATAGGAGAAGAGGTAAGGAAGTGGAACATATAGTTTGGTATGTTTAAAAATATGTATATAGTACGAGGTGAGAAGAATATATTCTAAGGAATCTAAACAGAGTGACAAGGAAAATCACCAATTGAGGCAAATGTAAGAAGGTTCTCCAAAGAAAAAAAGTAAAAAAGAAAAAAGTATGGGTTAATTAAAATATTTACTGAAATAGTAAGCAGCTGTAAACCCAGAAATGGGAAGTTGTGGACCAGTACACTCACTATGAGAGGGTAATGGGAATGGCTTGGGGGTGGGTAATGGGGTATAACATGGGAGCTCTTTTCTTTTTTCTTTTTTTTTTTAAAAATCAAAATTCTCACAAATACCTTGTTAATTTCGTAAATTCTGTTTTTTGTTTTAAATTTTTGTATTCCTTAACCGTCGACTCTGCAACATCTTCCACTCACTCTCAAAAGCAAGCATGCTTCCTCACAATTTAAAAGGTCGGTTTTTGTGGCTTTTTTATATTCATTCTTCCCACTAACCTTAACCTTAACCTTGTGTTTTTCTTCACAAACTAACTTACCCACATTTTTTGTTTCTATATATATACACATTATACATACGCTGTATGTAGTAACAACATACATGCTTATATTTGGTGCTTCTCAGCCTTTCACGTATTCTGTGTCTTTTCTTCTTTTCACCCAATTACACTCTCCAACTTGCCTTCTTCTCTCTTTTTTAGCAACCACGTACTTGCCGAAACTTCAGCCAATTTCCTTTGTTGTTGTTGTTGTTCTAACTAACTGCATTTTACTTAGTTTTTTTGATGGGGAAATTCCATCTGACATTGCTATTTCTACATACTCTTTTTGCCATCAATGCATGCCTTTTTCCTGCCTCCCATGCTAGACACCATAGACACACTTACAAACGACACAAGCATGGACATTATATTTCTCCCCCTGATTCCGGAATATCCTTGCCCCCTTCTTCTCAGCCTAATAACCCTTCAGCAGATCCTCCTGCCTATGCTCCTCGCGGTGTTTTTGATGTTAGGAGTTTTGGAGCCGTAGGGGATGGTGTTTCTGATGATACGGAGGCCTTTAAGGCGGCTTGGGATGCTGCTTGTAGTAGTACTGATAATTCCGACTCTACTGCATTACATGCTCCTAGTGGCCATACCTTCATGATTCAATCTACCATCTTCTCTGGCCCTTGTCAAACTGACATTATTTTTCAGGTACTTTTTTTTTACTCTCTTCAACTTTAACGAAAATATTGTACTGCTTGAATCATTCTCCTTTTCCTAATGTGGAAGTATTTGCTTATTATGGCAAACAGATTGATGGGTCAGTTGTGCCACCGGATGGGCCTGAGCAGTGGCCAAAGAACACTAGTAAGCATCAGTGGTTAGTGTTCTACAAAGTTGGAGGGATGTCACTCCAAGGGGGAGGCCGTATTGATGGAAGGGGAGGAAAATGGTGGGAGCTCCCCTGCAAGCCTCACAGGGTAAAATAACCACCCTTGCTCCATGTGAATATGTGCAATACTACTTTAGAACTAATCAACCAAACTTTTTAAAAGTACTTGTATTATAGTGTCTATTATAGTGTCTGTATTAGACATTTAACGTATGATTAAGGCTTTGATTGATTGATATTAGACATTTAACGTTACTCTTAAACTTTTCTTTGGCTTTGACACACTGTTTCTTATGTTTTTATAGGGACCTAATGGAACCACACTGCCTGGTCCTTGTGATAGTCCTATCGTAAGCATCTTATTTGAATCTTTTGAGAAAACTATAAGCACTGTCTGATTGGAGGACTATATCTTTGTTGTTTGGAGCTTTTACTATATTAATTATCTTTTATATGATGCAGGCCATCAGATTCTTTGAGAGTTCCAACTTGACAGTCAAAGGACTCCAAATCCAAAATAGTCCACAATTCCACTTCAGATTTGATGTTTGCCACAATGTCCACATAGAGTCAATTCACATAACATCTCCGGCTTTAAGTCCTAACACTGATGGAATTCATATTGAAAATACCAACAATGTCCAGATTTATAACTCCTTCATTTCCAATGGTTAGTCAGTCTCTTAGCACAAGATATAGTTTTCCTCCATCTTTTATTTCTTCATAATTGTAGAGTTGTCATACATGTTATTCCTCTATGCAGGCGATGACTGTGTCTCAATTGGCTCTGGTTGCTTCGATGTAGACATCAGAAACATCACCTGTGGACATGGTCATGGAATCAGGTATGCTTGCCTCAATTATTAATCTCTTAATTTAGTTGCAGGTATTAATTAGGATATTGTAAGAATATTTGTTCTTGGTTGGAATTAGTATTGGAAGCTTGGGGAACCACAATTCAAGGGCATGTGTACACAATGTGACTGTGAGAGACTCGCTGATGAGAGAAACCAGCAATGGAGTGAGGATCAAGACTTGGCAAGGAGGGTCAGGTGCTGTCTCAGGGGTGACATTTGATAACATACGAATGGACTCTGTGAGGAACCCCATCATAATTGACCAGTACTATTGCTCCGGAAAAGGTTGCAACAACCAAACCTCGGCTGTCTTAGTGACTGACATTGTTTATTCCAGTCTGAAGGGCACGTATGATGTTAGGAGCCCTCCTATGCACTTTGGTTGCAGTGACGCAGTCCCTTGCTCCAACATTACCTTGTCAGATATTGAGCTACTCCCAGCTGTTGGGGAAATGGTGTTGGACCCCTTCTGTTGGAACGCTTATGGAAGCTTAGAGTCTCTCACTATTCCTCCCGTATTCTGCTTGCAAGAGGGTATCCCGCCTCAACCTATCTTGGAAAGTAGTATTGATCATTGTTGAGTTTATCAGCATCTAGTATACAATGTATATACATTTGTATAAGAATTGATTTGGTGTACGTGTCAATTGAGGTGCGGCCGAGTTTCTATTCAAGGAGAAGCATATTTAAGTCTTCTCCTGCTGTAATAGTATTACAGGTTTTCTAGTATGCAATGTCAATTTGAAGGCTTTAATCTCATTTTTATGTTCTGTTCTTTGTATTATCATGCATTCATGCAATTGTATGGGTATGTTGTTCTAATTTGATCATGTTTTCAAAATATAGCTTTTAAGCTTAAAGTAATTTTATATTGTCATAAAGTACTCATTTCTATATCGTCATCTTCTATTACACCTCTATTCTTATAAATTGTTGATTTCACTATTTTAGTGGAAAATAAAGAACGGATAATATGGGTATTTTCACCTTTATTTAAGGTTTACTAAAAAAAAATTTAAAAATATTGATAGGCTTACTAGCCAAACTTTTAAAATTACATTCAAACAACGAAAATTCTTCCATTAAACTTTCTATTCAAATTACATACATAATTTTAAAAATACATATACATTCAATAAAATAGTAATGAATACATTTAGTAAGCAAGCTTGTTAGCCAGTTAGGTAGTTTGGTATAGGGGTGTAGGCGACTCAGTTAATTATTAGTTATTACAATAGTTGATTGAGGAATTCACTATATATTGATCCTAACAATTAGGCTAGGATATACTCCGTAATATTTAAAAGGAAATAACAACGTTAATTTATCATCGCCATTTGTTTGATACCGTAGATTATATAAAGTACATAGAAATTCCATGATAAGAGTATTAACTTTAACTACCGTAGTGTACTAAACTAAAACTACTTATGTTAATTTGTATGCAAAGGATGGTCCAGTTTATAGTCTTTGACTAGCTAGTCATTGTATATAGAGTCATTATTATGTATCGATATACGTGAGTATGTTTCTGAAGTGAAAATCAAATCATCCTCAAATACTGTTTCATGATACGTTAATATTAAAATGATTAATCACCTCCGAAAGTTTAAATAAAGTGCACTCAACTTCTAATCACTCACTACGAGTAGTAGTGTAGTACTATTTTAATCAAATGGGAGTATAATATGAGAAAAGTGTGGCGCAAATTTGCTTAAACTGAAAAGGAGGTTAATAATAAAGCGGTCGTGACTCGCGAACGATAGTGTGCACAATCAGAGTTTCACTTTGTTGGGGTTCTAAGTTGTGCATCACATTTCTACCTTGGATCAATATCAGAGTGAAGAATATTATTCACTTTTTGTACATTAATATACCCCTTTTAAACTAACCTAGTTGGGTAAAAATTAATATAATCCTACATTTGACCACCACCATCAAGCAAATTGTAAACATTTTACTTTTTAATAAACGTACGTAACCTACAAAAAGAGCGAAGGGTTTAACTTGATAATTACGTAGTATCTACTGTATTGAAATTCATTGTAGTCCTCTCATGAATATCCTATATTGAAGAAAGAGAAGAGTTGGTTCCCCTTTATAAAGTAGAAGAGTAACTCCTACTATTGCCAATTGGTTTTAGTGTGAAAGCTCCTAAGCCTTGTTTGTGGACCAGACTCTCCTCCTCCCGAACCTTGTTATACACAAAGATAAAAAAAAAAAAAATGTGTACATTTTTTGAATAAAGTAAAGTGTACATAAACATAACCCTCCAGTGAGATTCATGAAAAATATCTTAATCCCTCTTTCTTTCAAGATGCGGAAAAATAAGGAATTCTATAAAAGTGAGAGTTATAATCCATGAATCTGGACCGTTTTTAGGTCTTTCGGACCCAAAAAAGTAAAGGTTATAGTTCATGCTTTCGGACCATTTTTGGAAACTTTTAAACCTTTTGTCAAAAACTAAAGTGATCGTAAGGAATACATCCCGGGGTAATTTAAAGTTAATTGGAAACATATACGTACACTCCTTGGTTATTAGTCAGTCATGGTGAACATGAGATTCTCGAAATTGAAAGACATTTAAGTTAAGTAATTTGATAAAAAAGTGATCATCACTAAGAGATAACCCTAAACTAAGCTAATTTTTACGCAAAAACTACAAAGTACAATAACTTTCAATATTGACATGTTGTGGGATCGGAATATTATGCTTGTATTTTTCAAGTACATAAATGCCGTACAATTAATGACCTAATTTATTGTTTTTGTCTGGATCCGATAACCCGAGAACCCGAACCCGAGATCCTGACACCCCTATCGGCAGCTCGAGAACCTATACAATTTGAGCAGAAGTTAGCTAACCCCGGGGTGATCCGGGGACAACCACTCCGATGACAAAGTTAGAATGTGTTTTAGAGAAGGAAAATAAGAAAGAGAAAGAAGAGAGAGAGAGAGAGAGAGAGAGAGAGAGAGTGTAACTCATACCTCATTAATGACTCCCAACCTACTATTTATAATAGGTATCATGACAGGTGTCCACAAAGCATGCAAAACCCTTTTCTGCCAAGTGTCAAGCTGCTCTTGCCACGTGCCAAGTATCGACAGGCCGATATGTCTGCTTTACCAAACATATCTGCCCATTAACCAGGTCTACCGGGTTTAAATCCAAATCCGTAAAAGATGTCGGCCCATCCTACATTTCCTCCCATACAACTAGTCCCCCAAGTGTGGACGTCCGACAAATTGTCGACGTTCATACTTTCGCAACAATTCTAGAAATGTTTACTGTATAACTTTTTATGATATGTTCAGGCTTTTATTTCTTGCTCTCGAGCGTTTTATTAAGATTATGTATTTGGGTTTTGAATAAATTATTTTAGATTGTATTTTGTAATAATTTATTGTTGTTTTTTGGTATGTATATCAGTTACGTTGTATATTATTTTAGAATCAATAAATCGGGAGCAGAAAAAACTCCGTTTTCTCTCCCAAGTGACCTTATTTGCCGTAAGCAGACAAGGTCTACTTTAGAAACAATAAATCGGGAGCAGAAAAAACTCCGTTTTCCGTAAGCAGACAAGGTCTACTTTAGAAACAATAAATCGGGAGCAGAAAAAACTCCGTTTTCTCCCCCAAGTGACCTTGTTTGCCGTAAGCAGACGAGGTCTACTTTAGAAAAAATAAATCGGGAGCAGAAAAAAACTCTGTCTTCTCCCCCAAGTGACCTTGTTTGCCGTAAGCAGACAAGGTCTACTTTAGAAACAATAAATCGGGAGCAGAAAAAACTCCGTTTTCTCCCCCAAGTGACCTTGTTTGCCGTAAGCAGACAAGGTCTACTTTAGAAACAATAAATCGGGAGCAGAAAAAACTCCATTTTCTCCCCCAAGTGACCTTGTTTGCCGTAAGCAGACGAGGTCTACTTTAGAAAAAATAAATCGGGAGCAGAAAAAACTCCGTTTTCTCCCCCAAGTGACCTTGTTTGCCGTAAGCAGACAAGGTCTACTTTAGAAACAATAAATCGGGAGCAGAAAAAACTCCGTTTTCCGTAAGCAGACAAGGTCTACTTTAGAAACAATAAATCGGGAGCAGAAAAAACTCCGTTTTCTCCCCCAAGTGACCTTGTTTGCCGTAAGCAGACGAGGTCTACTTTAGAAAAAATAAATCGGGTCAGTTAAGTATATGAAGCGTCTACTAGTAAAATAAGCGGGAAACAACTATTAGAGACAAACACGTGTCGTTAATATGTGAATCTGCAATTTTAATTTTCAAATTTTTAAACCGTTAGATTTCTGACACGGTTGTCATGTCAACCGTTTTTTTTTTTATTTTTTTTTTATATATTTAACCATTAATTCGCAACCCTTACTATTCATTTACCTTACTTTTCTCGCCATTTTCTGATAAACAAAACATATTCTTGAGATATTTGTTCGACAAAAAGGATTTACAAATTAAGATACCTTCCTGCCATCATCTGTTCTTCTGAGCTAGCCTTATCGTCACCTCAGATAATTGTTGGAGCGTTCCATCGTTGGCGAATAGCTTAAGGTACTCACGAAACTTTAATCCCAATTAACTAATTTTGATTTCGAGTTCTTTGGTTAATAATAATAATTTTTTAAATTTTTTTTTTTTTTTTTTAAAAAAAGAAGAGACCCAATTGCATGTTTTAAATTTTGTTTCCTTTCACTTTGAAGTCTGTGAACCAAGAATTAGATGTCCAACAGTAGCATTGAAGAAGAACAACCTACCCTTAATACTACTAGGCGCCGACTTATTAGACAATCTTTATGGAAAGACCTTGGTCGAACTGGAGAAACCACATCTTCACTTTCTGACAACATTGACGACCCTTTTCAGTCGTTATCTGTAGAAGAGCAAAAGAAGGCATTTTACCGTCATAAATTGTTAGTCGAATGTGAAAAAACTAACCGTCCTGTTAACCCTAACATACCGGAAGACACTGAAATTCTTGAGGTTGAACCGGTTAGTGTCCGTTATCATTTGAGAAGTTTTGCAGATACTCAATTTGACCAATACAGCTCAAACGTGGGGCATATAGGTATAAGTACCATGCCAAGAGTTAGGAGTACCAGTTATCAGCCTGAGGTTGTTGCTCGTGATGCCACTGAAGAGGCTGAGTCGAGCAAAAAAGCTAAAGAAGATCAAGTTGCCTTGCCTTCCGAATCTGATGATACAAATACCCTTCAAATGCCGAGAGAGATGAGCCTTCACCAGTCCATGAATCGACCCTTAATTCTATCTTGGGTGATGATGACGCTCAAGAGGATAGTGTCAATGCTGATAACAGGAATGACATAATCGATATGACAGCTGAAATTATTCAAGAAGAGAATCTTGACGAAGGGTATAACTCCGAAACCGATGGGGCTGAATTCCGACAACCTATTGCCTTAGCTGCTAGAGGAAAAGTTGCAGGAGCCAAGATAAATGAAAAGTTTAGGCAAACAGCTTTGGAAAAAGATTATTGTCAGCGTGCCAAGCGATTTTATAAGCTTCCAGACGGATATGACCTTTGTGTTCCTCCTTCTGGATCTTCAGTGCTCGATTGCCCAGATGGTCATGTTGCCATTTACCTTAAGCATTTTGATTTCGGTCTCCGTTTCCCTCTTCATCCTTTTGTAGTCAAAATTCTGAAGGCCTGGAATGTTTGTCTTGTACAGCTTACCCCTCCCACCATTCGTGTCGTTATTGCCCTTATTTGGGTTCTGCTTCATAGTAACTATCCGTTAACTCTTAACGCCTTTAGACGACTGTTAACTTTAAAGAGAGATGGGCAGTCTGATGGGTGGTGGTCTTTATACACTCAGC